AGTAAGGAGGACAGTCTTTGATAACTTTTACTGGGAAAAAACAGTATGCGTACAGATCCATTAAAAAGTTTATGGGGATAAGGGAAAAAAAAAGACATTTTGAAGTCCCAAAATATTATAACTATAGATTCATACAATTATAAATAGGAATAGTTACAAATTGAGAGTTGTGTTTCTGCCATTGAAATGCTTAAAATTGTCATTCTCCCAAAATAAAAATATACCAAAAGCACGTTAGAATTCCTTGCAAGCGAGACAGTATACAAGGAGAATTGACCCCCTTCCCCCCTGTGTAATAGTGCAATTTCTTGGAACACGAAATGTAGCAACGAGGACCAAAAAACCACAGGGAGTGCTAAAAGCAATGATTAATAGTATTAATAAAGAGAAAAGTGGCCAAAGCATGCTGTCACACGCAAGAAAGTAAAGGCCACACCATGGCACCATGCTGTTGAACAAATAATTCCAAGTGGCCAGAGAAAGATAGTGTAGAATACAGATGGGACACCATTATGAAGCAGCAGGCAAAAGGAAAAAAAGGAAAAAAAAAAAAGGAAAGTTGAATCAGTCGAGTAATGAATAGTTTTTCAGGCAAAAGAGAGAACTAAAGAACGTCGGATAGAAAGTGAAAGAAGAAATATAGAGAAAACGAAAAAAGCAAGCGCACACATACCGATGTAGTCGGTGATGACTCTTCCGTCGGAGAACCGAACCGACCGGCTGGTTTGCCCGGAAAGGTAGTTCCATAAGGCTCTTTCCAGACCTTAGATACTCCTCTTCGGATGTTTCCGGTGTCCGCGTAAGAGTCGCCAAAACGAACAGTTTCTTGGCGAAAATTTAAGGTGGCGAGTATGGAGACGAGCCTCCGGTTGCATAATCCATTGTTCTGTGATAACAGTATTGTCAGAACACTGATCAAGGTTAAAAAATGTGAACTTTGGATTAGTGGAGAAAACTACAAAACTAAAAAGGAGGAGAGAAGAGAGAATAAGAAGAGTGGTATAAACCTGAGAGAAGCAGGATAAGGAAAAACGGAGAGGAGAAACCATGGGTGCTTGTGCTGTGAGTGTGAGGCCATGGGTGAAGCAGGAATTGGGAAGGCTTTTGACCGCGAAGGAGAAAACGGCTTTGAGCAGAAGGGAAAGGCGGAGTCGCTAGAGTGAGGAGGTACGAGAGCCCCGGGAATGATGAATCAGGAATTGCCTGAAATATTAAAGCCGGAAGACGACAAAGACCCAAAATCACCGTCATTTTTTTTAAATAAAGGAAAAATCATTTCAAATGTACATACATTTTTTTAAAAAATATTGCGTAAGGATCTTATTTTTCTTAATGATAATTCCTTCAGAAAAATTAATTAACAAAAATGCCCATGTTTAAATATCTTGCGGGTTTTTTTTCTGTGGAGGCAAGCATCTAGGACGCTGCATGTAATGACAAAACAAAAAACTCAAAATATTTTGAGAGAGAAGAAGAAAAGTGAAAAATAAATAAAGAAATGTTTCTAAATGTTATGAAATGAGCCAATAAAGAAAATAAAGTAGGGAATTTTTTTTGTTTGTCTCTGAATAGAACAAAATGATATTTTTAAAGGACGCAAATCGATTTAAAAGACTCGTATTATATAATTAGTTGATTGTTATTTAATAAAGTTTTTTTAATATGAAGGAGAGAAAATTTAGTAGGTGAAAAAATAATGCCTTATAGAAACAGTGGGAGTTCATAAAGTGAAAAGGAAGAAAAAAAAATGGACCACCGTACTTATAATATTCATAACATAAAACAAGAAAGATTAATTATAGAACAAGAAAAGACTCACAAAATTTTAATAGGAGACAAATGTCTGGAACTTTTCAATTTGGAAGGAGAAGTGGAAGTAATATGAAAAATGAGAAAAAATATTTTTATAAATAATACCTTAAATTCTAATTATAAGACCTTATTTATAATTTATAGATAAGATTTTATAATTAATACAAGAGGTAATACCCAAAAAGATTACCTGTAAGTTAGGGAAAATCACGCAAATTTTAATTTGTTTTGATATGGATCTCACTATACTTTGAATAATAAATAAATTATTAATTAGAATCAAAAAGTAAGTGTCACATATCACACACAATGTAATCGGTTCTCACTTGTTGTAAATTCCATTACATCTTAAATTAGGAAAATATTTAATTAAAAATAAGAGTGATGTGGCATATGATCGATTGGATAGGCTTGGATCCCACTTTCCCTCTTCTTTCATGTCAAGTCACAAGTCTTTTTAAAAATAATTTTGAAAATTCACGTTTAAAGGTAATCTATTTAATGGAGCTGATCCTTATATACAGTATTTAAGAAATTTAACATCCTGATCCCAAACTACTACGTGGTCCTAATACCAAATTTGTCCTATTGTTTTCCCTGTAAGCGGGCGGGGATAGTCCTTGGGCAAGGATGAACAAAAAAGCAGACATTTATTACGGGGAAGACTAGCCATCTGTTTTCTTGACCACTATGATTGGTTTTTATTAGACAAGGGCTGTTAAACAGTAATCAGTGTCTAGTTATTGCAATAAAAAAAAAAAATACTCCTCTCGTCCTATTTACGGGAAATAAAATATTTTTATCCTATTTATAGATTATTGAAAGAATTTTTTTTGTATTGATATATAATTTTACCCTTCATTTATTATTGTATTGATTTTGTTTATATTAATGTAATATATATTAAATAGGGATAAAGTTAAAAAATTGTTGAACTTGAGAGTTAATGAAGTTTAAAGTTTTTATTGATCTGTATGAAATATGTTGAAAGTGACTTATAAATAGAATAGACGAGTATAATGTGTCAACCATTCCTACTTAATACACGTGGTAATTAACATGCTGAGTCCCACGGCTGAGAGGCATACCGATAAGGGGTTGGTTAGACACCTCATGCGTTGGAGTTGCTAAGCTCCTTGAGTGGAATTCTGACTGGATAATTTATAATCAGGTGGGGAAGTTGCCAGTTTAAGTAGTTTTATTGTTTATTTTGTTGGCAAAAAAAACTGGGTTTATTGTTTTGGGTTAGATATTCTTAAAAATGATTAGTGTAGATAAAAGTGTGTTAGTTTAATTTAACCGACGAGTTAATGATGGCAGAGTACTAGGATTATCTATAAGATTGTCTAGATCCCCATTCCACTCATGCTATGTGAGATTATATTCTGCAACTCTCTAGTCTTCACTCAATTTTGAGGATTCATAGTCTCTGCATAAAAAGCTTTTAATGTCTATCGTCATGTTTTTAATAAGCTTATTCTTATACTATCCCAGATATTTAATATAAGAATTAATTAACTAATTTGAGTAGATTAAAAAATTATTTAAATTAGTTATTTACAGTAATAGATGTTGTCTTTACTAAAATACTTTTACTAATAATGTGTATCAGTTAGAATTATCATTTAATAAAACCTTTAATATGTGCATATTAGGACTACCTTAAAAAAATATGAGAAACAAAGTGGATTGTGGTCTTATATTTATGATCAAAATAAATTTTAAATTAACTCTTATATTAAGAAACATAAAGAGTATAATGTAATTTAGGAAATTACATCCGGCTTCTTTGAACTTTCTCAGCGATGAAAATGGCGTTTGGCTATTTTCATTTTCGTTAGAGGCAAAAGATCCATATTCCGGAATTTCACGCTATATTTTGAGTCAACGTTTTCAAGAATTAAATTTCACTGGTATAATAACCTCGCGGAGTATACTCCTATATTTGGAGACTTTTCAAGTTTCGTGTTTCAACTCCCAACTACGTGTTATGTCTACTTTTTTAAGGCCACAACTCCCACCTACTTAAATTATTGTAGCAATAAATTTTTCCCACTCCATTACTATTTCGTCGCTTATTATAATATCTTTTTAACTAAATTATGCTGTTTAAGAAAATAATTAAAATTAGTTAAAAGCAATTAATATGTAGTAAATATAATTTTTTTCAAATATACCCCTAAATATAAATGGGTAGATGTGAGGGAATAACAGTGAGATAAATAAAGAAAGAGAATATATTAAATGTATTAAACTAGAAATAAAATAGATAATAATACATTAAATGTTCAAATAAACTCAAAAAGAATCTTATAAAAAAGACAAACCTATTTAAAAAAATAAACCTTATAATAAAAAACGGAGGGAGTATTACACAGACATGGTTCTTCCCAGTCCCCTCCTGCTTCCCTTCTCTTTTCCCCGCCGACATATGCTTATTAGAGCAACATGATACTAGTGATTTCAAGCTGGTTAACTATCAATCTTTTTTAAATACTCTCACGTGTCCTATTTAATTGTAAAAATATTTTTAATTGGATCATAGGCATTAAAAAAGCAGTTAAAATTAATTAAATGCTTTGATTTCTTTAAAAGTTGCTATTATCATTCATAAGTAATTAAAACTGTTAATTTCTATTTGTGAAATTTAAACTCAAACATGCCACCAACGAGTGAATCAGGTACGTGAATATTTTTAAAAATAATTTACAAATACTGCTTCCCTAAATTTTGTACTGTTGTGTCTTACTATATTAAACACCAAACAAAACTTTTAAGAGATGTTTTATTTGAAAGGCCACAGGAATTGCAATTCAAGTCAATACTGAAAAACCATGGCCGACGACAACTGAATTTTATGCATATTTATGTGAACGATATAACCGTTGCAACAGATTAGTTGCCCACTAAGAAATTATCATTTATCGGTAAACAAATAATGTTTTGCCCGTTTCGAGTTTTCTTTTGTCTCATCCTTTCGTTTGTGGGGAGAATACTAAATTTAAATAAAGAATTTCTAAAAAATGTGTTGTTATTTTCAAATCTAATATTTTAAAAACTTATTAAAATACTGTTATCAAATTGGTTGAAATTTAATAATTTTAAGCTTCTTTTTGTGGATATTCTATTTTTTACTGGTTTGTTTTTTGGCGCGGCCTGCTATTTTATTTTATCTTTTCAATCCCTGCTAAAAGAATAAGCTAGCTCTGCATTGACATATGCACGCTGCAAAGTATAAAACTTGCAAAAGGACCATATTTCACAGAGACGTCCCAAACGTAAAAAACAAGAAACCAAACAAATCTACACAGTCCTAAGTTCTGGAATTACACATGATATTGATATGTTTCGCGAGAAATGGGATGTACTCAATTCTCGCAGCTCAGCTTCACTTCTCATCAACCATCTGCAGTTATTTACATAAAAAGTACTCCAACCTACGTACAAACGCAAGTACAGCCATGTTACCTCGTACAGCTTCATGTAACATTCTCCGGTGGGAAATAACGATCGAGACTACTCTGCTCTGTTATCTCATCGGTTGCTGAAAGGACTGATCTTGATGACTAATCCTGGGAAAACATCATCTGGGTCATGAATGTGAGGATTCTCTTCGACTATATAAGGATCCCCACACTTCTCACTTATGGTTTGAAGTGTCTCTCCCACACGAACCACATATATCTCATCACACCCCTTCTTCATCACATTCTCCGGTATCACCTCAATATTCCCGAACTCGCTTGTTCCTGACTCGCAGCAGCTCAATACCAGCATGACTGCCAGAAACAGAGCACAGTACCAAGATATCTTCTCTGCCATTACGGTTGAAGAACACCCACAAGCCATGTCTACTGGCTAACTTGTCGGAAACTAATGGAATTCTTCTTACGATTCTTAATTTCTTGCCTTCTGTCTGTTTTTATAGGGGTTTCGTAAGCGAGAAATGGAGGGAGAAACCTATCCATGGTTGGTGGAGTGGGTAAAGATATAGGAGGGAGTTGAAATGGATCTCTCAGTGAAGTAGGTAAGTGTCGAGTGCTTGAAGGGGATGACCTATAAATAAAAATGGGAAAGAGTTGGTTTAACTGCTTTATTAAATGAGATTGCTTTTGGCTTTCCACCTGGTTCCTATTTGATTCAAGTTTTTCCTTTCACGGTGAAGGTGCTTCATCTGGTGCTGTGTATGTTCCTGTAGTATTAGTTTCGGTGCTCGTCACTTTTAAGTTCATCAGATCTAAATTATTCATATTTTATTTAGACAGTTCATATTTAATTTTTTTATTTTTATTTATTTAAAATAGTTATTTTAATATGTATAGAATCTAAAATAGAGATAATCTCTTAACTATTATTCTTTCAAAAAATAATTTTTTCTACTTAAAAATAATTAATTAAAAACTTTAAATTTGGATAAGTATAAATGCTAATCAAAATGATGAGTCTTGAAATCGGTTCCGTGTTCCTGTCGAGCAATGACGATCCATGAAGAAGCAATGAGGAGAATCAGGGAATGTCAGATTGTAGGTTACCTAGAAAAAGCGACGAATTAGCACAGAATCTAGCGTTGGCTTGGGAAGGCATAATTAATGCGGGGTTGGTCCTGCCGAAATGGCCGATGAGGGAGTAAATGCGAGCTTGATTTATACCACGATCACCCACTCCTTCCTTCAAACTAACACAAAGATATGAATTGATCAGAAAAGTTTTATTACTAAAAAATTGTTTGTGAATACGTATACGAGTGCCTAAGATCCCATTTTTCAAAATTTTTTAAGGTTCGGTCTTGCATAAAAAAAATTAATTACGACTATGCAAATATAATTGAATGATATAATAATAATGAAGACGCGAGAAAACTGGGGTGTGCGTGTCTGTGTTGTTTTTCCTATTAACGGCTAAGAATGTGATAACTGATACGAATTAAATTATCATTCATGAGCTTTTAAGGGCGAACTAAATGGCGGGGAGATATTTTGAGACCCTTCATTGTAATATAAAATTCAGGTTTTTGGTTTTTTTGAATTAGAAATAATGATAAGGAATGATGCCATTACAAGTACATTTTTTTCATTAACTCTTTTGGATCACGTTTTAATTATAAAAATAGTATTGACTACTCCAATACTTAATGAGATCACCTTCACCCACTTCACTGCAAGCAAAGGTAGCAAGTCATTAAATTTATTTTTTAAAAACAATTTTTTTCAAATTTACTATTGGAATCATAAATTATATTTCCATAAGTGAAAAAAAAGAGAATTGCATGAAATTTTAAATACAGACAATCATAGAAATATATAATTAACATCCTACCAAGAAACTTATAAATATAGTCATTCTTTTTAAAAAGCGATTTATAACTGGGACGTTTTGATTCTGCTTCGTTAGTTGATATTTCATTTAGTTCCTTGGTAATTTTTTTGGCTCGGGTAATCCTTTGGTAAATTGCCACATTAAATTAAATACTCCTACACTTAACAATAACTGGTATAATACTACTTTTTATTTTTGCACTAGAGAAACAAAAAGACTATCAGCCATGCAAGGCCTAACGGGCAAAATGGAGGGGGTGCAGCCGGGAGTCAGCACCGGCAGGAAGACTGTGTCTGGTGTCCACCATCATATGGGCGTGCCTGGCTAAAACATTTGGGTATGAAGAAACTCGATCAACGAATAATATCAGAGGACCTTTGGATAGTGGAGAGTGAGCCTTCCATTGTTTTATGGCTGTCAAGCGAACAACAAAGTATTGTTGGGTGTGTCAATAAATTCAAAATCTAAGAACCCCCCAAGTTGCTGAAGAAGGTCAATCAGAGTATAAAATGTGAGATATTTATTATTATTATAACTATTTAGATATTATGAGGATATTTAATAAATATCCTGAGTGTTGTCCATAGTCATTTTAAGCCCAGTTCAAAGTGGGTAATTGGTTCAGTTAATTAAAGTTAATTTTCTGATGGTGAAAAATAGCATACGGTATCTTGAATCTAGAGCGAAATCCTAATCTCCTCTCTGCTCACTCTCTGAGGTTTCCCACTGGTGACGGCTACATTCCACTTGCCATCATTGTGCCCAATTACCAGCTGAAAAATTCTCTGTATTGTTTTCTCCAACGGTGTTCTTGGATTCACAACTCTTTATCATTCAGATTAAGTTCTACATCAAATTAATTGAGCTAATGATAAAAAGTATTTATAAGTTTTCTGCTGTAACTCTTTCAAGTATCATATACATATATAATCTGGATTGATTAAATAATATATATGTGTGTGTTGTTTTGCTTACGTAAAGGTCATATTCTTTTCCCAAGACCGTGAGAACTAAGGCGACGTTCCTGTGGCGTCATTGGGACTTCAGGGTGGAGTCCTTTGAGTTTCTTGATTTCCTCAGAGGCCTCGGGCATTTCCCACAAAATCTCTTTCTCATCAGAAAGTAGGTCGTCGATTTCCATGCTGGACCCATTGTATACAAGTAGCTAGTGAGTCACAGTATGATGTTTGCTGAGGGTAGCGGCTTGAGGATGTTCATGGTTATGAACACCGGCCGTCATGGCTGGTTCTCTTGAGTTGCCTCTTCTGCACGTTTCTTTCCAGACTCGTGGGTGGCTCTCTATGATACGGGCTGGGCGAGATTCAATCTTTTCCCTTTTCTTCCGATCATCGGAGGCCAGGAAACAGCAGATCACGCGTGCGCGAGTTTCAAGAGAGAGAAAAGCAAACCCACTCAAAGCCACCGTAGACTAGCCGGCGCAACATTCCATGCCACTCTGGGCCTTTGCTAATAACTAGCATAATAAAACTGATGTATGCGGATGACATCTTCTGATTGAAGCAAGAATCTTCGAATCACCTGTGAGTGATATGGCAATATCTCCGTAATTGAAGACAAGCGGGTTTATTAATAACTTCTTAGCTGAAGGGGCATCTATCTTTTGACCACAAAAAAAAGAAAAATAGAAGGGGCATCTATCTATGCTTTAGAGCCAGAAGCTTTCATTAAGATGAAATTGCTCGCACAGCGAATCCATATTCTTCTCTTGTCTATCTGGACAGCAAAAGTTGATGATGAAATGGCATGGCAGAGAAACGGTTAATTATGGAGATGGTCATCAGAGTGAGGCTGCAAATTATTGCAGCTCATGGGCAATGAAACATCACGTCCATTTGGTCGGGGCTATTACTTGCATAACACAACTAACAAATCTGTCAAAGATTATTTAATGCATTGGTTCTGATTGCCACTGCCTGTGTCGTGAATTGTTGAGTTGAAGTGTTGTGACGAATTGTATCCACTTAGTGACTCCTGTATAGGTTGGACTAAAGAACTATTGAGAGGAAAATAAAAATATTATTTTGCCGAGTTTACTTTCATTTCCCCACTTTCAACGTTAACCAAATCAAACCTACAAAGTAAATAAAACACATCTATTGAATCCCTCCGAAGTCTGAACTATTATGTACACTCTGTCAGCATCATTAGCTGCACAGTTGGGGCGTATGCTACCACACGACTTTAATACTCTCTCCGTTTCTTATTATAAGAGATAAATAACCAAATTACATTAATAAAAAAAATAATTAAAATTAGTTGAGGACAATTAATATGTAAAAAGTATAATGTTTTTTCCAACAATGCCCCATTAATAAGGAAAGAGAGTATGAGAAAGAACAATTAAATTATTAAAAGAAAGAGAAGTAGGAGGGAGAGAGAGTATGAGTTGGAAACAAAATAAATAGAGGTAAAATAGGAAATCAATACAAAAAAATAGAGACAACTTTTAAGTGTCTTTTATATATGGGAACATGCTATAAGCATCAAATGTCTCTTATAATAAAGAATGAAGGGAGTACTTTGGTTATCTAAACTCAAACCCACAATGAAATAGTGGCATCAACTTGGTTATTCACGTTCGGTCACTTTACTATCTCTGTTTTCAAAAACAATGGCGCAAAATTAGAATAAAAGCGACTACTGGGAATTAAGTGAACATCAACTACCTTAATGATGGAAGTTTACTTATTCTGAACACCGATTTCTCTAGGCCGATTGGAACGCCAGAACAGAGAAGGAGGAAATTAGGAGTTAGCGAAAAAGTGAGAACTTGAGAGGAATTCGCGTTCGCTAAAAGTCAAGGATTAATGCGAGGTAATAAGCGTTGAGACTGAAATTTAAATATTATAAAAAGGAAAAGAATGACTGCTCACTCTAGTAAAAGTAAAGCCGTATGAAGAGGCAACATTTCGACAATACATGAGATTGAAGCATGATCTGCCAGGATCGGAGAATGATATCGACAAAGAACCCTCGATTGCCTATGTCAAGGTTGAAATTGAGTGCAATAAAGATAATATTCGGTTTGATAACATTTCCAACTTCCAAGTGAGGAGGGTGCTCAACTATGCCCCTATTATTGACATCTGTCGAAGAAAAGATGTCTGAACTTCAGGGTTTCATTAATGTCTCCTTGACGTGCTTAATGACCCCATCGACATCCACCGTCCAAGCAACCGAAACAGGGGAAAACCCCGTCCATGGATTGGTCGAATTCCATCTATATGAAATGAAAACCACAATGCACTGAACATTAATTAAACATGAAGCACCAAAACTAAAGTGAAGGAGCATATCAATCCATTCTTTGGGTAGGCAAAAAGAAAAAAATCCATTGTTTGGACTTACTTCTTTAACCCTTGGTCCATTAGCGTATGCCCGATACAGAGGCCTTGTGTCTCTACCCTCACTACCCCTCGCTTGTAAGTAAAAAGCTCTGGACGAACAAGTGCTACGAAACTGACAGGGTCGTGAAGGAAAATTCCTGAGAGCAGATATCATATCATTCCAAAGGCAAGTTGACAGCGAAGTAAACAATTAAAGAAAAATGCTTTAAAACAGAGTGATTTTAGACTTCAAAATAGCATGTCGTATTACCATAGACACCATCAGATTTAACGTGCCAATCCCGGTAAAAGTTGCACATCTCACTTATGAGTTGTGCATGCTTTCCTCCCGAACTTTTCAATTGAAGGAGGTCAGCATCTGAAATCAAAAGACAATATTCAGTACCTCACAATTACAGCAAACCCAATCGACCAATAGAAGTATCCTAGAAATTAGAGAAAACAAGAAATTGCAATCCCACCAGTTAATATCACTTGGGTTGTAATATTTATTCCAACAACAACAATATTGGCGCCAGAAGTAAACACAATATCTGCTGCTTCTGGGTCTCCGTAGATCTGCAAAATAAAAAGAAATGAAGTCAATAGGACCAACTGAATATTAAATCTGATCATGAAGCATAACGTAACACATGACCTATATACTGCAACGATTACAAACTTCGCAGAAAATATTTTCTTTGTAGTCTAGAGCCTGTTGTGAAGCATGTTCTTGATTTTGAAAACCAAAAAAAGGGAAAATGAAAGTGTGATTTTCTCTTCCAAAGTGGAGGTTGTTTTCGCTTTTGACCATTTTAACTTTAAAACATATAATTCTTCCAGAACTTAAAGGAAAATCCTGAAGCCCCTTAGTCCTTATCTGTCTCCTGTCAAAATCAAAGGCATGAAACCACCACTTACATTTGCTTCTGCAGCTGGATTTACATTCCCCAAGGCAAAGAAAGCACCACCGAGTATAACCACTCTCTTCACCTTTCTAGCAAAAGAAGAATCTCTTCTGATGGCCTAATCACGAAGATTAAACTATCAGAACATATGCGTATGCAAATGCAAATTAAAAAAAAAGAAGGGATGATTGACCATGACCATGAATAACAAGAAAGCATGGTAGCGCTTACCAAGGCTAAATTTGTAAGTGGTCCAAGTGCTAACACAGACACTTCACCAGGGTATTCAGAAACCTTCTCCACCAAAAACTCCGAAGCACTTTTATCTATTTTCTTAGCTGTTGGATGGGGTAGGGATATGTTTCCAAGTCCATCAGAGCCATGAATAAAGTCAGCAACTCGTGGAATTCCACCCTTTCAAAGAATAAAGCATACTTGAGACTCGAAAGATGAAGCAAAAACAAAAGAAAAAGAACATAAAACCATTATTTAAAACATGTAAAGTCATGTACAGTGCCATGTGGACGAAAGATGAGGCTTGGCAAGCAGTGTAAGGTAAATATTTAAAGGGTTGAACAGCATTTTCGCCTTTAAATTATACTGGCAGGAGCATTGGGTATTCTAAATTATCAAGTGGTGCAATGTTACTCTCAAATTTAAAAAAATGTTGCAATGTCGCTCCTACCATTAAAAAGGAGCAAGCATCCATTAACTCTGTATTGTGGGGACCACATACAAATCTATGCTTAACGGACGTCTACTATCTCTTAACAGGAAGGGCAACATAGCATTTTTTTTTTTTTTTAAGAGTTTGGGGGTAACAGTGCACCCCTTCATAGTTTAGGTTAGGATATCCAGTGTTCCAATGAGAATAGTTTAAGGGCACAAGTACCTTTTAGGCCAACATTTAAATATAACCTAACTGAGTTGAGACACTCAAGTCAACTTCAAAGGTGCATATTAAATAACTACCTTCAATGGCTCATGGCTGCCCTCTGCCACTGGAACATTTTGACAGCCTGCAATCTCACACTATCCTTTTGCACAACAAAAAGACAAACTGATCATGAACATGTTCTAAGAACATGAAAGACACAGTCTTTTGTAACATAAAGTCACAGCCAAAGTTGATTAGAATTTGAAAAATAAACACATACCAAAAGCAACGAATTGCGAGTGGCATCTTCGGTAGAAACATTACCAAATGTTGTTGTCAAGCCCAGGACCTCCACCTCAGGTGTTTGAAACGCCATCAAGATTGTCATGCTATCATCTATGGTTTTACCATAACAAAAACATTAACTCATGAAAATGACATTCACAGTAAAACGCAACATTCATAAAGAAGTGTGCAAGAAAACCACAACCACTATTCAACCACTTGAGTTAGTGACTTGAAGTAATTCCATGGATTGAATATCTCCTATGAGTATGACAAATTAGCTGGAACTTAAATATTGCACCACAGATTAACTGGAACTTAAATAATGCACCACAAGAAAGCCATAACATGGTTGTTCAAATCAAGTTAGGCTGTGCCTAAATTTGATAACAAGATACTAAATTTCTCAAGGACGGACAATAACCAACAATTATAATTGACTTAGCATCGCTTCCTTTGATAGAAAATGTAATTTTGCAAACTATAACAATCTCAATGATTCCAGGTACAACAAGTGCAGTTGCCATCAAATACGTCCTCTCAACAGCAAATAGAGTGAATAACTAGATAGATTATTCTCTTAGACGCCCGCTTAGGAATCTCCAAAGTATCCGATTAAATGCATTTTCAATAAACTTTTTCGGTTTTACACTTGAAGAAAAATTAAAATAGAAGTGTTCTACTTTGCATATGATCTGCAGAAGTTAGGGGGATAGATGGTCAAATTTAAAACATAAATAAATGCAAGAAAGTACACTTGTACAAAATTGAAGAGAAAAAATATGATTGGCCTTTTTGCCTAGTCAAACATTTGATGTGAAGGAACATGATTGAGATATGTGAGGGTGCCTGTGCGAGCGTGAGCTTTACGATATTAAACATTTCAAAACTTGCAATGAATTTCTCAGTTCAATGACAGATGAAAAGAAAATTAAGTCGCCGAAAGCCATCAGATTGTCAGGCGAACAACTCGCCGGGCGGAAAAATTATACAATAATCAAATTAACAGGATGGAGAGCAGCCGGAAAATCATACGAAAAGGAGGGGAAAAAAAACAGAGAGAGAGCATGCAGCAACAATCAGATCATCAGGCAAACTACTTATGCTTTTTAACTTTATTCAGAGGACCCAAAAAGGCATGCAAGCAGAGCCCAAAATATCCAAACTTACCGATGCCAGGGTCAGTATCGATAATGAGCTTCTCAGGATTGGCGCGAGAACCTGAAACCCCATTGGAATCAGCGCCCGTGAGCCCACTCGCCATGACCGGTTGGAATTAGAGGTAGGGATTCAGAGAAGGGGGAACAGCAAGGAAGAAAATATGAACTGCAATTCCTCGAAATTAAACGTATGAATGTGTGTGTGTATGAAGCAAGCCTCAATTATATAGAGAGAGAAGTATAAGGACACAGCCCATACACACACACATGAACAGAACGGTACGAAGGAATATGCAGAGAAAGATGTGAGCGACGATGAAGACGACGCAGAAATGAGCGCCCCCCGAAGCACGCCCAGGAAAAATAAAAGATGATGGCTTGGTTTGGTGGAGAAGGCCGGAGCAATCAACGCAGGACATGTGTCTAGCTATCATTGGACCCCCTGGATCGTTAGTTGATGGCCCAGTTGGCAGTTGCACCCGGAGAAGGACGGAAATGCGTGTTGCAGTTATAAATCCACATTCCGCGATTTCTACTTTTTTCCCCTTTTAGGTAAAATTTATATTTATTTTATCGTTCTCACAACAATTAATAAGAGCTTTTAATTAATCGTTCAAAATATTTTTTTTCACTTGTACTTTGTTTTTGGGAAAGAATGATTAATTAGATGATGATAATGGTGGGCAGTTATTTATAACTTCAATGGATTGAAACCGGGTCATTACGGCAATGAACGGAGTGAGTAAAGAAGGGACAAAATGAAAACGTAGGGCGGAGTTAGTTAAAAACAAAGAAGGCAACGTTAAGTTGGGAAAGAAGCAGAGAGCAATGACGCGTAAGCAGTGTGTTTGTTTTAGGGGATTACGGAATCGACAAAGACATTACAGGATAAGAATTCCAGCTAACGTGGAACCACGTTGGGCGATGCATTTTTATTCTTTTCATTTATTAAAAAATCGGTACAAATATAAGAGCAGAGCATATATGCATACACGGAGCAATGTCGAGCCGTGAATGCTTAGTTTTTAACCCCGCCAAGCATCTTTGTATTCATCCGGAAAATAATAACTTGTTTAAGATAATGTATGAACTGATTTAGCCTAATCTCTTTGGTTGGGTTCCTTATTCCCTTCTAAACTTCATTTGCAAGCCGGGGACGTGGATGACGCAGCATCTAATCCCACGTCTCATCCTGCTTGTTTTATTCATATTTGCACATCAATCAATCGCGTCATTTCGACCACACGCACCCACGCTTCTTATCACCCGGCCCGGGGAGCACCTCGGTTTAATTCCTTTTCTTCCTTTTCATTTCTGTTACTTTGCTTTAATCATCAATTATCAAATATTAATTCGCAGTAGTCCGTGAATGTCGGTTTAATTTTCTACGCCACGTGCATTTAAGATTCTTAGGAGATTGCATAATTCATTGAAATCCGTCCGCTTTTGGCCTTTCATCAAATTACAATCATTTTACCCCGTATCCTCAATATAAGAGTTAGTAAACTAATTTGAGTAAATTAAAAAAATTAGTTATATTAGTTTTTTATAATAAACAGATGTTGTTTTCAGCAAAACATCATTATTAATCAAGTGTATTGATTAGAATTGTTATTATTATAAAAATTACCTTAAAATAAATAAATAAATATAAAAAAAAAGATAGATTAATATTTTATATTTAAAATTAGATAAAAATCAAACGTCTCTTTATGTTAAGAATCGAATGAGGCAATATAATTTTATTAAATGAGGAGGCCCACGGCAGAAAAACGCACATGCATTCATCTAATCGTCTCCTGCATGTGCGTGCACGTGACATATTATCGGCCCAGCTCATTTCTCACCTATCATGTGTCATTCTTTCCGTAAGTTAACGCGCGTAACACTCTAAATTCGTATTTTGTTATTCTTTTATCTTATTTATAAAACATTTTTAATATATTTTACACATATTAATGAAAATTTTAAACTATGTTAACTTTCAATTAAAATATAACAACTTTTTAATTTTATCTTTATTTATTATATACTCATTTTAAAAAAATAATTATCTAGACTGTAATAAATGAATCATAAAATAGTACATTTATACTACAAATTTAATAAAATGACATATAAACAGAATAAAAAAATTCTTCTCTTTCTACTTTATAAATAGAAACAGATGAATATCTACTTTTTCGTTCAAGATATGTTTGTGCTCAACTCACTAATTAATTCGATGCCTTTTTAGCTCTCCATCACCACTTGCATTAAATCTTAACAATTAATTATTCTTTAAGGTTAAATTTCTTTTCTTTCCTTTCCAGCACATTGCCCTTCAAATATTTTACCTTAAATTTGTCCCCATCCTTTTTATCTCCACATGCATTATGGGCAATATACTAAAATTATCTTCTTCTTCTTCTTTTTTTCTAAGCAAAGATACTTTACTATTGAAGGGGATTGTACAAGGCACTATCAAATATTAAGTGTGGATATCTCTATTCATGAAAATCAGAACATTAGCTCACCGCATTATGAAGTGAAAATATAATCTTTTTGTTCTTTTTTATAAGCAACAACTGTTTTTTTTTGTCTCTAGATATAAATAATATTTGCAAGTTGTCTTAAATTTTGATTGTAAATTTTCTATTTTACCCTCTATTAATTACTTATTTTAATAACGAATATACTTATCATCTCATTTCTAAAACAATCATCTCTCTCCATTCATATTCTTTTTCTTTTATAAATAAAGATACTTTAAAGAAAGAACTTCTAATTTCTATCTATTTATTATCTTTAACTAATTTTTTTGGATCTATATGATGGAGTTTAATCTTGCTTATTGTAATATCCTAAAAAAAAAAAGTAATTGAATAATATAATATAATATAATATAATATAATATAATATAATAATATTTTATTATAAAAAAAAATAACAAAAGTCCAACTTTCCACCGATTTTCGGTGGAAAGTTGGAGAGGGCGTGGAATTTAGGGGAGGGGGCGTGGAAACGTGGGGTGTGGGTTTGACAAAAACCCCTCCCCCAATAATTGTGTGGGGGTGTTAAATACCCCCCACAACCCATTTCCCCCTCCACGGCAGGCGCAAGAAGGAGCAAGAGAGAGGGAGAGAGAGAGAGAGGAAGTGTGTGTGAGCGAGAGAATCATACCGGTGAAGCAGAGGGCAAGCTTTGAAGATATTTTAGGTACATGAAATTATCTCTTTTCATCAAACTTTCTTTATAAATATTTCATGTATATTTTAAGCTTCCTATTTACGTTATTACTATCATGATTGGAGAAAATTTTGAGACTTATATATGATATAAGTATTGAGTTTTGACAAAAGATGACTATAGAAATTTAGAAGTAAATGAGTTGTTAATTTTAATCGGTTTAGATTTCTCTATTTGCTAGTTTTAGTATTTAAAATTAATTTATTTAGTAGAAAATCTGTTATGTATGAGATATACCATATTTTTACCGATTAAATTTAAGTTAAATAATTTATTTGGATTGTTTGATATATTATTGAGGTTTTAATTGGTTTATTTTTATTTATTGGGTGACTGGAGGTTTTAAAATAATTATTGTAGCTAAAAAGTTTATTATTTATGGAAATATATATATGGTAGTTATACCATTAAAGTTTTGATCATATTATTTAGTTATAAATATTTGAAGTATTATTGAACTTTTGATAGTGTGATTTTGAGGTTTAAACTTAAATGAAGATTTTTAGAATTTAGAACATAGTAATTTTATATTTGGAAATTATGAAAAATCCTTTTTATTAAGGTAAATAATTTGGAGGTGGTAAATAAATAATTTTTGAGTTAGGAGAGTTGCGGGAATTTAGAGTAAAAATTTAAATAATATAGAGAAGCTTAATTAATTAATTTATATTAATATGTGGTTATATTAATTGTGTAGATTAATTATTGGTTGAGCAAAGGATTGACCTTGTGGTAATCCTTAGTATTGCTTTGGCGAGAGGTAACCACTTTCCACTTGTTATATGTGCTAATATGTTGTTTGTGAGTATTTTGCTATTTTTAGAATAATATTTGATATTTGGAACTCGAGTAAATATATTATATCTGTTGAGCTATGAAAATTGTCTTGTGGGATTTTTGGAATTGTGATTGAGAAGTTTGGAAAAGATATATGATTTATATCTTATGGATTATACTGAGAAAAGATTGAGACATTTTTATTATATTGTGAATGATTGGTTGTTATTTGGATTTTGGATTGAGTCCTATCCTACCACGTGGTAAGGCCGCCATTGGTGCACATTGGTTGGCTTCTTCTTTCGTCCCCCATAGTGAGGGATAGGCCTTTGTGGCTTCTTATTCGTCCCCCAAAGTGAGGGATAGGCCCATATGGTTGATTGATCCCCCAAAGTGAGGGATAGACTTATGTGGCTTGTGTGTTGGCCCCCATAGTGAGGGTTTGGATGATTGAAATTATATTTCTATGGATATATCTATAGTTCTCGAGAATTTATAACTGTCCCACTTGACACCTCACGAGCACATGTTAGTATGTATGATGAGTTGGAAAGTTGGTTACTGAGGCATTTGTCTCACCCCGTGGTTTAACATTTTCAGGCGATAGTTCAGGTGGTGGCCCATCAGGGAAGGCTCCGGAAGCATAGTGTGCTGATTAGCTTGTATAGCCTCCCTGCTTTTGTTCTATGTGCTGACTTGTTATATATTGCCACATAGGGCTCATCTACTATCATGATATAAAATAATACTTTTAATTACTACTATCTGGTATGATAGGGCCGTGAGGAGGTCCGAGACATTTTAGACTCTGCATGTAATGCTCTTTTGAGTGTGTTGACTTTTGACTAATGAGCTCTATAGTTTATATTAAACTGATTTATCAATTCGTATGGTTGGAAATATAAGTTTGGTTTGGGCTAATGGTTGAATGATATTTCTGGACTCTGGAAGTCCAAGGCCCAGGGTAACGATCGATGTTACTCTTATTATAAGTTTATTTCTTTTAACCATGATAGCGATTTTAAAATTTTAAGGTTTATTCTTTTCTATCATGGTTAATCATTCAAATAAATTGTTGGATTTAATCTAAAATGGTTTTGAAAGAGCGGTTGTCACACTTATAAAAAAAACAAACAGAATATCTTACACCAGTTGATCTAGGTAGGCCTAAATTTTGATCGGGCTTTATTCGATCTGGAATGAATAAGTTCAAACCCGCAGAAACACATATAATAAAATTTGGCATTCTCCTAGGCTCTAGTGGTTTTTTAAAGGTTTTTTTCCCTCGAGAGAATTACAATAAAAAAAATAATTACTAAAAAATCTCAATAATAATCCGAATAACTTGTAATGACAAGTCTTACAGTAAAAAATAACAACTTTTAGAATTTATTTTGTTATTTTTTTTATAGGATTTGATTGTAATTTTTCTTTAAAAGACTGTCTCAATTTCTGAACCAGGACACAGTATTTTCCCATAAAAATGTTGCTTCCAACATAAAACTCACTGACAAAGGCTTGGAACGTGTTGAAGCTTTATACCTTGTTTTCTATTTTTTGGTGGACCCTGTTTTGTCCTTATTGTTTTTGTTGGTTCTTTTATAAACTGTTTTGTACGTTTTTCTCTGTACTTTGTAACACTTTCTTTTGCGAATCAATAAAATGATCTCTTTTTTATTAAAAAATATAAAACTTGAAAATATACAAATTTTTGTACAATATTTTCAACAATTAAATAAATGGCATAACATCACAAGATCAAGTGACCACAAATAAGTCAAGTGACGTGATTAATTTAAAAATAATGCCTGCGTTAATTTTTTTTTAAAATTTTTTATAAAAAATGTTTAATATGAGCAGATGATGCGAACAGATGAATTAACCAATAGAAAACAAGTGGAAGTTTGAAAGCAAGACATCAAAATACGCAATTCAAGAGTTTTCCGAAATGCAAATTAGCTGTAAATTAAGTCAACAAAGAAAAGGATAGCAAAGATTTATCACCAAACCGTGACGCTAAAGGGACAAGGAACCTACAAATAATAGGTTGTGCTCTGGTACATTTCTTTTTTCTTTTTTTTAAAATAAAAAAGTACTATTTAGACCTATTCAAGATGGAGGACTTTTTTTTTTTTGGTAGAATATTCAAGATGGAGGACTTTTGGTTGAGAAGCAATAAAGCAATTATCATCCATGGAGTAAGTTCATTGAAATCACCTCTTTCCAATCGAACTCCACCCCTTCCTCCAACATTTGATTTCTTTTCAATATATGTAAATGAATCTTGTTAATTTTAATGACTAAATAAAAAGAACTGATAGTAGAAGTTGACAGTTGAGGACAGAGAATAAGTTTTCATAATGCAAATCAATTATAAATTACATCAACCATGCATATATATGACACGCATGATAGAATGAGACCTGAAAACGAATGAAGAACAAACAAAACCTCATTTGATGACTGACTCCAGACAGGTTCTAATTGAGAAACAAATGGGAAATGCCTACGTGGCGCAAGACCTGCTCGTGAAAGTTGCATGCCTAGGCTCCATTTGGATTGGTGATAAAAAAAAACAGCTTATTTCTAATCTGACTTTTAAAAAAAATAAAATTGAGTAAAAGTTAAATTGGATAAGATGAATTGTGTTTGGCTTGGAGTTTAAAAAAATTACTCCTCCGGTCCTTATTATAAGACCCAATTTGACTTTTTATTTGGTCCTAATTATAAGACTCAATTCATTTTCTCTTTTATATTTATGCATTTTTTTCCAAGATAATCCTTCTAATAATGATAGTTTTAGCTAATATACTTAATTAGCAAGGATATTTTAGGAATAACAACACTTATTTATTATAAATAACCAACTTAACTTACTTCCTTAATCTCCTCAAATAAGTCAATTGGGTCTTATAATTAGGACCGGAGGAGTAGTTTGTAAAAGTAAGATTGGTAAAAAAATTGTTTAGATTATGATTGAGTAAAAATAAGTTTGTTTGAATAAAAAAAATGGGACTCACATTTTGTCTTTCTCTCTCTACTTTTCCAATTCTATAAGCTGCAATTTTTAACTTTTGGCTTAGTATGTGATTTTGGCATAAGCTCTTGATTTTTTAACCTCTTCCAAACTCACTTAAACATATTAAAAGCCAAAAGCTACTTAAAAGCCACTTAAACGTGGCTCCAAACATGCACCTAGTCTCATGTTATCGCCACAGAATGAGAGCAGAAAGGAAGGAAGCAAAGATCAAAGGGGCAAGCGACAGCAAATTATTGATTTCAATTGGGGTCTGCAAAATATTCCGAAATCTGTCATCAATTTTAACACATCACATTGGTAATGCACACCGGCAAGACATGACAATGCCGCCCGTGGCTTTACATGAAGCCCCATTGGCTTGATGCATTGCGCCTCCTTTAAAATACAACCACCTATTGATTTTCCCCAACCTAATGAAAAAATATTCCTGCGATAAAAATATTAAAAAAAACGTATTATTCAAAAAAAATAAAAATAATTCAAGTATATATATATATAACGTAACTACTTATTTCTTAATATTAAAAATTTATGTGCACTATAGAAACCTAAAACGTCGCACGAATGAGGTTAGGATTCTCCTAACTCGATATATCTTCATCATTAAGATATCCAATACTATCGCAAGCGTAGAAGTTTCTGAGTTCCGTATAATTCAAGCTAATAAATGATAGAATTTTTTAATTCAAGAAAAAATATAACAAAGATATTCAAAATTGAATATATCACGGGGCCTAAATTGGAGTTAATACCGTAGGAAGGAGGTTCTGTGTACCACAAGAAGTATGACTGACAAAACACATCGACTTTTTAAAATCTGGAAAACCCAGAAAAACCAATAATAAACAAACAGACATGCATTAAGCAAATTTTATCACTTACACTAACAAGACCCAATAATTACCCCGACTCGTTTTTTCCCCACGAGGCTGGGACAACGGGTGCCAGAGGAAATGGCAGCTCCACAGGTCAACATGACCACCGAGGTTGATGTCATATGAGTTGTTGACCCCGGGCACGGACTATATCAACTAGAGCCAGGCAGACAGCAATCATGCAATTTCACAAGGCCATCTCATTGTGTTTGGCCCATTACACTAATTGCAAAGATGCCTTCCAAGTATGGGGAGGTCGTGATTTTCTTTCCACAGGACTCGTTTGAGCGTTTTTCTAAACAACGATGATGATGATCATGATAATAATAAGATCATCTCATTTGTTCTACCACCCCGTGCATCCAAACTCTTCTTATGCCCCCCTTACTCTAAAACTTATCCTGCAAGATCTCCTAAAAACATCTAATAGCACAATATTTTGCAAATCAAAGTTGCAAGTTGGAAACAAACTAACCCAGCGTGAAGGTTACACAAGATTGGGAACAATATATTAAAAGATGCTTAAAAATTACTACCTCCAATCTTTAACATAAGAGTTAGTTTGACATTAAATTTAGTTCTAAATACAAAATCCCAATCTAGTTTGTTTCTCATATCTATCCATTTTTTCTAAAATAATCTTTATAATAATTACACATGTTAAAAATTTTATTAAATAGTAGTTCTGACTAATACACATGATAAACAAAGACACTCTACGAAAGATAAAACCTATTTTTTACAAATAACTAACAAACTAACTAATACACATTTTGCACTCTCATGACCCTCCAAGCAACTTATGTTGGAGAAGTTTTGAGATTAGAGGGAAAGTCCCAGCATTTCCAACTAACTTGACCAGAGCGTCTGATAGTGGAAGAATCATGTAAACATGACAGTAATAATTGACTTTTCACTATAAGTGTATTACACTTGTATAATTTTAATCACCTGGTATCAAAGACATGTAGCAGTCATTGCATTATACAGCATTAAATGTAGCAATCATTGCATTCCACAGCATTTATACTCCACAGCATGGCGCAATTTCAAAGCTAAACTTCACAATAGTGGACTCCTGAATCTGCACGGAACTTCATATAGCCAGAAGGGTATAGATGCCATTTATGCATGGCACACAGAGGTACCTCTCTGATAGAATCTTATGGCACAAAGCACCGATACCTCAGGCACCTCATGAATTCTTAGAAGCAGACGAGCTAAAGACATTTCCAGGTGTCTTTCCTTGAGTCCCCTTAACACCACCAGTTGCCTGGCCAGCAGAGCCCTTATGGTGTGCGGCCTCTGTTGCTACCATCGACTTCTTTATCTGCCAGAAAATAACCAACATAACAACACAATCATATCATTAAGATTTTTAATATTACCAAGAAAATCATTGTACTTTTTAATGGGAAAATTCATTTCTAGGTTCCTATAGTTGACCTCGATTTACAAACAGGTCCAAAGGTTGTAAAAGCCCATCCTTGTATTTTTCAATGGTTACATAGTCCTCAAAACCTCAAACTTTTGCATCCTAACCCCACTGATGTTGGCATATCTATATGGTATAAACAGATTTGATGATCTGGAGGGTTAACTGTATGCAGGGCAGCCTAGTCACGTGAGTTGACCGCACAAGAAAAAGTTGCTAGGTGAGTTGGAGAGGGGGGAAACCACATTTCTTCCATAATACATCATGTATCCTTCGCTGGTTAATTGATTTGGGTTCAAGCCTGTATTTGATTGTGTCATTGTTTTAGGAGCAATGCAAAACTGAAGTCGAATTTTGTTTCAAATCTCGGTTCAAGCCATTACTGATTGTGTATTTGGCTTAGGGGTAACGTAAAACTGAAATGGAATTTCAATACAGATCTGGATCCAAGTGTCCTCCTTCCTTCTATATCTCTTCATATACTCTGGAAGTTGGCCTCATTTGATTCTGAACCCTCAACTTCATAATTGCTAGAACACTTGGTTTTGGTTTAGCATTACACATTGCTCTTCTCTCACCCACTTCTTGCCACATAATCTTGACGATGGCTCGTTAGTTACATGAACTGCTTAAGGAAGATCAAGAACCCTTTTTTTCTTCCTGGTGAAACTGAACCATTCCTCTTAAAAGTATATTCCTAAGCAGAGCCGGCTGAAGAGAAGGCCCTCCCCTAACATCACCTTTGCAACCATCATAACTCAATCTTCCCCACTAGTTTCAATTAAAACGCTTGCGTTTTCTCATTTCATGACACCCATAATCTCTGAAACTTGCCATTCTTGGAGTTCGCATATCTGGAGCTTTTATAAATCCCTCAATGCCATTTTCCTACACATCCCCTGTCAATCAGCTGCACTTCTTACCAAAACCACTCTCTAAATTCAGAAACAGTGGATAAAGCTCCCAAGAAGACCAAGGAGTTCACTTTATTTAGTTCATTATTCAAGAGACTAACACTGCCAAACTGAAAAAGGAAATACAAGGGGATGGGGTTCTGTATTACAGAGTAGCACCTCAACAAATATGGCTATAATGTCGCTATTGATTGGCATCGATACCCAGTCATTTTCTAAGGTTTTCTTCCCAGACTTATTTCTCTGCATTTTCTCTTCATCTTTGCCGTGTGTTTACTCGTTCAAAAAGGCTGTGGACGCAATGTGGCTTTTTCTCTTTTGCCACTAAACCGATCAATTATTATTATGTAGCGAACTTAAATAATGATGCTTCACATGTACACTTAACCCTCCACATCATCAAATACATTTGCAGTTGCAGCATCAAAACACATCGATATCACAGGAATTGGGGTACAAACATTCAAACTCCAAGGGCTAGCTCTGTAGCCATTGAAAAATATAACTAGGGGGTTTACAAACTTTAGGATTATAAGGACCAGCTAGAAAATTGAAAAAAAAAAGAAAAAGGATATGTTAATTTCCATTTTTTAATCTTAGTCAAAGGCTTTATTCAATTTCAACGTAATCCCTTTATTAAGGGTTGGCTTGGTGGACAAAGATTGCCTGGTTTACAAGTAATGATGATGTACCCAGACCATAGCGGTTACTAGCCACACATGAAACCCAACAAGCATCAAGCACCAATGATTACAAGGGCAAGGAAAGGTCCCAGCTATAATCTTCATAATGCAAGGAGTAATTCGAAATATGGACCCAAAAAAAAATGCAGGCAAACTTCAAAATAATAATAAAGAAAGAAATATTAAATCAAAAACACGAAGTGAAGAGCTAATTTAAAAGCTAGTCACTAAACACATAACACACGACATGCAATTCTTTGTGCGTGCATTTTGCAAAACACACAACACGCTACTAGATATTGTTTGCCTTTCCAAATAAGAAGGAAGAGAAACTTAAACTTACAGCTGCAAGACGCTCCTTGTGAATATCACTAGCAAGCTTCAAAGCCACAAAATGAGAGAGTCAAGATTATGAAGTTAATAACATGTAAAAAGACCAAAATAAACCAATGAAAACTTACATTACTAAACTTTACGTAGCCAACAATATCACTTACCTGTCTTCTATAGCTTTTAATCTCATCGCCACCAAATCCAGGAAGTGACATATTCCAATTTTTCTCTATAAAGATGCCCATGTACAATTAGCTACTGGATATGTGATCAAATGGGAATCAGACTGCAGAGAATTTCTCTAACCAACCAACCTAAATTTAGAAGTATGTCTTTTGCTTCCAACATAGTTGATTTCCGATGCTTGGCAAGTGAGCAACCAGATTTAGTGATCTGCTCAAGGTAAAGAAAACGATAATTAATAATGATAACATAATATAGATGTCTATAAGCTTTATGAATATTGGGGCATTTTCAAAAAAAATGAGGGGATGGGTTGTTGAGTTTGGTCGCCACTTCAACATATACATTAAGGCAGCAAAAGAATGAAATATATGCTTTATCCATATCCACCAACATGGGAACTCAAAGGAGCCTCAGTATCAATAGGGAAAATGCGCGCGCGCACACACACACTCACACAAAATAACAATGCTTATTTTAAAGTTGATGCAAACTGCTCTTGATTCAGTTGCATTAAGAAGAAAGGGTACTTCGTCATGTACCCCTATTACTGTACAAGAGTTTTATTGAAGAAAACCTACCAGCTGAAATTATCATCATGTAAAGGGAAAAAGCCACCCCTAAGGCCTAAACAAGAGAGAAAGCACCCAAATAGAAAACTACATAAAGCATATTTCACACAATACGTGGGAGGAACAGAACGATTATTTCAATCTCTTATATTGGCATGGTAGTAGAGAGGGGGATTTAAAAAGTTTCGGCTAAATACAAAAATTTAAACCAACACCAACTAAATCCAAAAGCTTACAGATTCTAAAAAATTTTCTGCTATATCCACAAGAATGTCTGCGACTTCAGGATCCAGCTTCTCTGATGGATCAACCTGCCAATAAAGTAGTTAATTCATCAAACGAATATATCAATCAGAAAGCGTTTTGAGAAGCAAATCCCGTCAGATTATATATTGAACTTCAAAATCCATGAACATAAGTACATTTGATAATCATAAGGGATCCCAAGATCATAAAAAAATAGTGACTATTTCAGAATGTTAAAGTGAATGCAGAGCCACGTTTTGTCCAAGACTGATTCTTTCATGGATCCTTAACCAAGCAAAGCTAGAAAAAGGAATTTTTAACAGCTTAACGATTCTAGTGTAACTAAATACTTGTGCTTCCATAAAATAAGATACGTTTCACAGAGAGGGGGGCGGGGGGACATGCACGTCAGTACGAATATATGTTGGACTGAATTCAAGAGTTATATTTTATAGATGATTTGTACTCAGATAATCAACAATGAATTGTACCTAGAAGAGATCAATGAAATAAGATTCAGTTCTCAAGAGTTTTCTGGATTGTTGGCATATAGAGAAAAAGCTCGATAATTAAATTTAAAGATCTGAAATTTACAGGGTAGAGTAAAACTTTGTCAAAAATAGAGTTCAAAAGGAGTTGGCTTATAACATACTACTACTCCGAATAAATTAAGTAAAATATATTAAATTATATACATATGTGCTGATTAATTAATTAATTAATGTGATTGCAATTAGGGCGAGTAAATGAGGGATAGCTACGACTAGTACACTGTATATTTGTGAATTGTGACTTTTCTCTATTATGTTAAAGAATGGGTGAAAGTTTTACACTTTCCCAGGTATGAAGTTGAACAATTCTAGTGATTCCAGCCCAAATTCCAGCTACCCCTGATACATATAGGCAATCTGAAAAACCATCCTTGACAATCTAATCAACTCATGAACAACACAGTTCCAATAACAACATTGGATGTGGGAATTCAGGTAACCACAGACTGATAAATTTATTAACTCCTCTACATCCTGGTATCCTGTATTAGAAAAATTGTGCATATCTAAGCATTCAACACGCTCTTAACTAGTAAGAATCAATAGGATACACCTTTAAGTAATTCAAGAGATAGTTAACCTGGACAAACCCAGAGATAATAATATGATTCGCACAGAGGTTAGAATATTTACTACCGATCCGTTCAAACTCAATGAGAACAGCCAGAAGTCTGTAACCATGAAATAAAGTGGCTTTATGTACTCCAATTAAATAATGCTGTTTGATGAGGACACTTTAACACATTTCTCACGAAATTTTAAATGTACGGACAACATCTTAGTCTAAAAGAGATTTCGTTTTGAATTTCAGCAATGTAATTTATGAAGCAACTTAAGAGATCAGTGTGACTTACCTGACTGACTAGCTCATGAATAGTTCTTTTGCTCAGAATTCTATTACATGATTCATCAGCATCTACATTAGATGTTCGATTCTGAATCCCTGCTTGAACTGCACTGGGTTGTGATGGCGCAAGAGTAGTAGGCTTTTGATTGCCAGGTCCTTGTACTTTTGTATTCTGCTGCTGGTGAGACATATGAAGCGCCCTTGAAGATGGAACTTGCTGCCCCAAATGATCCTGCAACTGGTTTGATGCCAAAGGTTGGTGTTGCTGTTGCTGTGATGCTGTTGGTGTTGAGTGTTGCTGGGCCGGTATGTGTGCCCTTTGCTGCAGGGATGGTGGGTGTTGCCTATAAGAAGCAGATGGTAGAGGAGGCTTCCCTGGTGTTCCAGAAGACAGCCAAGGCTGATTAAGTGACTGCATGCCTTGTGATGCACTTACAGATGGTGAAGCAGGTGATCCCACCGATGAGGCTCTCATGAGTCCAGGACCTTGGAAACTCTACAGAAAATATAGGAGTAGGTGAATCAACAGCACGTTTTTCCTTCAAATGTCTAAAAAGCCAATGATAACACCTCGACAAATCTATACCTAATTACAAATTAACTAGAAAATGCATAGACCCAAGTTGCAATGCCAACAACAGCATAATTTAATTGCACTCAAAGATAGCAAGTCTTCCACCATTTTGATAGGTTCACAAAAACACTAGGTCACACGTGAACAGTTAAATAAGACTTGGCAATCTGTTTAGTGTCTTTTACCCAAATTTATGCCTGATTAATGTTTACCTTGAGGTATGCGCGTCAAATTATCAATAAACGGAATAATACAGCTCAACATCAGTTCTCTTCACCAAAAATTTCATCTTCACAGCCAGTGCAGACATGGAGAAACAAAGTAAACCCATATACTAACTTGTGAACCAGTGGACTGATTACTTTGGGCAGATGGTGCTCTAAGAGATGATTGGATGGGTCGGTGTTGATGTGTAGGCATTCCACCTGGTCGCATTTGAGAACTTGAACCGAGAGATCCTAGCATGCCCATTCCTTGCGTGGGCGCTCTGACCTAAACAGCGACATCGAATCAAAGCTTAAAAAGCTACAAATGTTCCCAGCTCTTAAGAAATGGCCACCAGCGGGTCAAAAGAAGACAAGTGTATTAGTATATTCAAAGATAGTTTATTTATATTTTTAATTCTTAGATACTTAAACAATAAGTAATAAAAGATATCGCATCTCTTCGTTCGCAGCCAACGAAGAAGATTGTATAATTCCCGGATACACACGACCTACCGGAGCAGCGGTAGAATTAGGGGTCGAGTCAGTGATGTTGACTCCAGTTCGTCCCAACCCTCCAAAATGCTGCCCGAAAGAGGATGAAAACGGAGGAGACGGATTCTGGTGGTGGGCGGGAACACCGATCGCCATGCCGCCCCTTGGTGCAGAAGGCCCGGAAATCGACGGTGAACCAGCAGACGAATAAGAAGACCCAGAACCAACCGGAGCAGAAGATGCAGGAGGAAGTGAAGAGAGAGTCGAAGAGAAGTGCGGATAATGCTGCTGCTGTGGTTGCTGCGGTAAGTTTCTGTTGAATGCGGTGGGAGGGCGAGATTGTGGGGGTGCCGATGTAGACGGAAGAGGGGAAGGAGAAGGCGCTTTGGAGGTTGTGTTAGGGGGTTGGTTCGGGACAGGATTAGGGTTTGGGGAAGAATGCAGCGGAGCAGAGAGTGAAGGGGCTGATGAGGAATTGGGAGGGAGCGAAGTCGCGGGAGGCTGCGATGGGTGAGACTGTGAGGGCTCAGAAGGCTGGGAAGAAGCGGAGGCACCGGTGGCGGGAGCTTGCGGCTCCATGGGGCTTCTGAGATGAAGATTGCGCGCTGCTCCTTTCAAGTCCCACGTACGGTTGAATACTTCAATGGAGGATTTGCGCCGACCACGAACCAGGGCCGTTAACGTTGGGAATGTTTATTTTATGCTGGCCTGTAATTCCCAAAAAAACACCCGGGTTCTGAAAATAATAGGTAAAAAAATAACGTATATATATTAAAAATGAATTAGATTAATTTTTAAATAAATTTTTTAATAATCGATATTAAAATTAGTCTGGTTAATGAAAACTCTTTTTAATACTCTAGGTGCAATCAATAACAATAATTTAGATTAGAAATTATAAATTTAAGAGACAAATATATTAAGATGTACTCTTGGTCTTATTTATAAGATAGTTCTGAAATGGTTCATATAAGACAAAAAAAACCCTTAAATTATATTAATTTTTTATTAAAATAAAACAACTTTTTAATTTGAGAATAAATCCTAAAAAAATGACTATTGAATTTTAAAATTTCATATTAGTATTAATTACTGTATTTGTAAAAAAAATGACTATACCAAAAAGCAAATAACAATACATTTTTGTAGTAATTCCTGATTTGTCGTTTTAAAATTCAATAATCATTTTTTTCAGATTTTTTTTTAATTTATTCCTATTAAATATGTACTCTTCTAGTCCTATTTATAGGACAAAGAGAAAAAAAAATTTTTACTCCTATTTACAGGGGGCTGGGAGAAATTTTGTGTATATATATACAATTTTACCCCTTATTTATTATTGTGTTGACTTTGTATAGATAAAGTATAATATATATTAGGGATAATTAATCCGTAAGTCCTTATAGTTTCAACGAATTTTGAATTAGGTCCTTATAGTTTTTTTTCTTTTTATCAGATCCTTATACTTTCACTTGTTTTTAATTAGGTCCTTGTATTTATTTTTCTTTTTATCAAATCCTTATAAGTTCATTTTATTTTTAATTAAGTCCCTGAATTTTTTATTCTTTATTTTATGAATTCTAATAGTATTATTATATAAACATAAAATAGTATATATTATTTAATATTAGTTTATAAACAATAATATTCTAAAGATATTGAATTATTATAATGATTTTAAATTTTTCAGCAAAAAAATTAATTGTTCTAAAAAGATTTCCTGAATTAATTAATTCTATTATTTTTTATTACATAATTATTAATTTAATTTACTTATTAATATTTTATATTTCATTATTAATCTATTTAATTAAGCTTATATTTAATTAATAAATAAAAATTAAAACTACATGGACCTGATTAAAAATTTAATGAAATTATAAGGACTTAATTAAAAGAAAAATAAATACAAGGACCTAATTAAAAAAAGGTAAAAGTATAAGGATCTAATAAAAAGAAAAAAAACTATAGGGACCTGATTCAAAATTGGTTGAAACTATAAGGACTTACGGATTAATTAACCCTATATATTAAATAAGGATAAAGTTGAAAAGTTATCAAATTTTAAATGAAAGTTAACGAAGTTTAAAGTTTTTCCTGATCTGTATGAAACATGCAGGAAGTGCTTTATAAATAGAACAAGAGGAGTACACCTTTAAAAAAAATAATTGTCTGCGTTATATTAAATAAAAGACGATATAGTACATTCATGATAAAAATTTAATAAAATGACTTACAAATAAGATCCCAAAAAAAGTTCTCTCTGTCCTATAAATAAGATTAGAGGAGTAACATTTGGTATGAGAATAAATTTTTAATTAATTTTGTATTTATAATCAGTCAATGATTCATGGATTAATAAGTTAAAATTTGTTAAAAACAATCAATAGATTAGAAATAAACTTTTACTTTCATACATGCCACTGTAATAAATGAACAAATAGATGTAGGAAAATTAACAAGAGATAGATAATTAAGAGCAAAATGCATTAAATATTATGACAAATTTAAATCAAAGTTTATAAAATAAATCATATTCCTTTTCAAATCTAAAGTTTATAAATAGAATTGGAAGGAGTATTGATCTTCACTGTTTGTGTGGCACCAGCAGGTCATCAAGTCATTCATTTATTTATCTTGGTCTGTTTTGGCCTTTGTATTGAACTATATAGTTAATTAATCAACTGATTAATTAATAACTAATAATTAACAAATAACAAACAGGCAATCATTAATTTCATCCACGAAAATGCATATAGGAAAAATTAGAGAGAAAAATCCGTAGAGAGTGATAGTTACTGAGTAGAACCATCAAAATTATAATCATTTACGAAGACCAGATATAAAATTAAACATACTAAATTGCTCCTCACCAAGCCTCCTACGTTCCCTCCCCCAATCTCTCCCACATCTTGTTTTAAAAATAACATGAGATTTATTTTCCATCAAAATTAAAACCATCAATCTTCCACCAGAGGATTTTTTTTAACTTTTATTTTCCATTAAGATTCACAAAATTATATCATCAATATATCACTTAATTATCAACATACATGTGTTTATCTGTTTATACCATTAGGTTATTTTTTTTATTTATATGATTTAGTATAAAATAAACTCCACTAACCAAAACAAAAAATTAAACACATTTTATATCTTATCAAAACAAGTTATGCATATTCAAATGAAGAAATTAAAATAAAATGTTGCATAGATTATGTCAAAAATTGAAACACCATAATATATTAATAAAAAATTGAATTATGTCTATAAAATGACAAATTATGAACAACTTCATGCAAATCTCATGAGATTATGCGAAATGAGTCATATTATTTATAAGTTTAGAATTATGTCTATGTATTTTAAGACTCACTCCTAAAGGTCATTTAACAAAACCAAACCATCTTTCTTTTCTTATTTTTGGAAACGAAAAGCCACCCAATTCCCACACACACAAAAAGTGGTATGTTTAAATAAAAATAAATTTATCCTAAAATAAGAATAAATTATAAAAATTCCTTCTTTTAGTGAAATTATAAAAATTTCTTTGAATTGTTTAAAATTTTATTTTATTTAATTATATACATAACCCTGCTTTAATATATACGCACACATCTATATATTAAATTATAAGAGATTTAAAGATTTCTTAAAATTATATAATTTTTATTTCAATTAAAGTTTGTATCGATTTTAAAAATAAGATTGTAATTTTGGCAAAATTGAACAATGTTTACGTCATTGTTCCAATAGATATTTATTCCATTTATTTTAGAAAAATTTAAAAATTTGTACTACTTTTAAAATAGAATGTGGGAGAAAATATAAAAAATTTGGTTAAAAGTAATTTGGCATTTTAAAATTTATATTTTAGTATTTAATCCTTATAAATAATTTCAATTTTTACGGCCCTCCCTCATAAATAACATTCACCTTATGTTTTTCATTCTAATTTTTCCTTATATATATTCCATTCGTTCCTATTTACCGGTACCGTTGACCTGAAGTGCTTGGTAGATGGGATGAGAATACACAGGAGGTAAGTTCAGGCCCAATTGGGGCGGACCTATTTTGGCTGACAGCCTGACAGTAAGTAACATTTATTTATTTATTTAGGGTTAATTAATCCGTAAGTCCTTATAGTTTCAACCAATTTTGAATCAGGTCCCTATAGTTTTTTTTCTTTTTATTAGATCCTTATACTTTTACCTTTTTTTAATTAGGTCCTTGTATTTATTTTTCTTTTAATTAAGTCCTTATAATTTCATTAAATTTTTAATCAGGTCCATGTAGTTTTAATTTTATTTATTAATTAAATATAAGCTTAATTAAATAGATTAATAATGAAATATAAATATTAATAAGTAAATTAAATTAATAATTATGTAATAAAAAATAATAGAATTAATTAATTCAGGAAATTTTTTTAGAACAATTAATTTTTTGCTGAAAAATTTAAAATCATTATAATAATTCAATATCTTTAGAATATTATTGTTTATAAACTAATATTAAATAATATATACTATTTTATGTTTATATAATAATACTATTAGAATTCATAAAATAAAGAATAAAAAATTCAGGGACTTAATTAAAAATAAAATGAACTTATAAGGATTTGATAAAAAGAAAAATAAATACAAGGACCTAATTAAAAACAAGTGAAAGTATAAGGATCTGATAAAAAGAAAAAAAACTATAAGGACCTAATTCAAAATTCGTTGAAACTATAAGGACTTGCGGATTAATTATCCCATTTATTTATTAGCAATTTTTTTATGAAAATGTACAGAGGTAAACAATAAGGTTAAGTATTTTATTCAGCATATTAAGTCTTAACTAAAATGGCCTAGAATTGTAAAACTGATTTTAGAAGAAAAATGTATATTTTAGACATAAAAGGAGGAATAATTTAATCTTAATATACTACTTTTAGTCTTTAATATGAAATTTAGTTAACTAATTTGATTAAATTAAAAAAATAAACTCATTATAACAAATACAACATGACTTCCTTAAAACACTCTAATATTGAATCGTATACTAGTATCAACTCATAAACTAGTTAAATTGGTTTGAGAATAAATTATAAATATAAAAAATAAAATAAATGACGGTTTTATATCCAGAACATAGAAGATGAAATATGAAAAGTGATGATGCCCTGAATTTTTTTTTTTTGGTTTGTTTTTTGATGAAAAGCCCTGAATATTGCTGGCAGGCTAGTTTGGGACCTCCATCACCAGATTAAAATTTTCCAGAGCAAGCTTGACGTGAGGACGATGAGGAAAGAAGCTCCCCTTTCAAGCTGCGTCGGCTGCAATAACGCATCAAAACAGATGGAATCGTGCACCAGGCAAGTTGGGAAGTTCTGGGAGTGATTAGGATTCTGAGGAGGATAACTGTGACACATAATTTAAAGATATTTGAATAAAAAATAAATCATAATTTTAAAAATAATTTTATAATATACTCCTCCAGTCCTTAATGTAAGACCCATTTAACTGATTTGATTAGATTAAGAAAGTTAGGTAAATTAGTTAATTATAAGAAAAGTGACACATTTTTCCTAAAACACCATAATCATCTTTCTTAATACCCTCTCTTCTTCTACTTGATTATAGTTGAGGGAGTATTCATAGAGGTAATTTTGAGAAAATTAATAAATATGAGAAATGATTTCACTTTGCAAAAAAATATATTTTAATCACAATTGAAAACTCGCAGCTCAGACTTTAGCCCATTATCTTCCGTTCCCCTCTGATGTCAAACCCCCCCCCCCCAAAAAAATCCCTGACCGTTAATTTGAACGAGCTTCAGTGCGTGCCCAGAGAAGCAGCTTTTTTTTTGCCTTTTCATAACAATATCTTTCATTTTCAATTATTTTACCGCCTCATGCCTCAACCAACTTGCGCCAACATTCTCGACATTTTGGGTCACCTCTGGCTACTCAGAAGAAGAGGAGGAGGATGAAGGACAATGCCGTCCTGTCATGTTTAGCAACAAGTTTGATCTTTTAATCGGCCTAACTTTCTTTTCGGATATTTTGGTTTTCTTTTTCGTTTTTCTCGTTTTCGTTCGCTAATTAATTTCATCGTGCAGCAAATTATTGAAAAATATCTTGCCGGCAAAAAAATTATTGAAAATATCTTCCAATCATTTCTTCTTCTTCTTCCTTTTTTTTTTCCCCCACACTTCTTCTAATCATTTCAGATGCTTACCAAACATATTTGAGTATTCTATTCCATCATTTTTTTTTGGCCTGAGAGTATTGCATTCCATCTTACTAGTACTTATTTTTTCTCGTGGTCATCGAAGGTTGTATCTTTCACCGGGCGTAACTTCCACGTTCATCCCCCATAGGATCATTCTTTATATTATACGAAAATGTGAACGGCGCACGAATTTCCCGTGTCATTTATTTCATGGGATAACACATATTTTTTCTTTAAATAAGAGTTAAATGCGCGCTTCGCAATCACGGCCAGCCTGTCCTCCCTATCGCTTCTACCAATTTTCAAGCGTTTATTGATCCACAATTTTCATCCCCATCAGTTATTATTATTATGCCTTTAACAGTGACCTGAAAATGATCCTTGTTCATTTCCCCAATTTCGCGTTTCTTCCTCTTTCTCTCTCATCTCACTTCTGACCCTTCCATAATCTTCCTTGTTAAGATTCATTATCTTCTCTTTTCTTCGTGTTTCCTGTCTCCTCCTGCTCCTGCTCCTCCTCCTCCTGCATCCCGCCCCTCCACCTTACTCCCTTCTGGGCAATCTTACTACTTCTTCGTAGCGATCAGGTACTGTTTTCTTTTCCTTCTTCTCCAATCTTGTTTCCTCTTTCTTCTTGTCTAATTCAGCAGCTTTTGCCTATTATAGACTCTTGTTTGTTTGATTTCTGCTAAAACGTTGATATACTGGGAAACGGAAACAGTTTTCAGTCTGTTTTCTTTTTCTTTTTTTGCACAGCAATTGGTTCCAACCTTTCTACCGCTTATGGAAAGTTTGCCTTTCCAATTTTTCCTTCATTTTTAACGAATCCGGACAGATTTTTCAGTTTTGACCCTCACGTTTCATTCTCTTCTATAAATTTCGGCAGGTCAAAGCTTCGCGGATTCTGAGTCGCAGAATTTCAGGCAAAATTCATCTTTTGTTTGTTCCTGGCCACAAGAAAATAAATCCACAACCTCATCTCCTGACGCGCGCGGGAAACAACATGGCGGAAGAGCAGCGATGCCAAACATCCGAAGGCCACCGGCTCTGCGCCAACAACTGCGGCTTCTTCGGAAGTCCGGCCACCATGAACCTCTGCTCCAAATGCTACAGAGATTTCTGTCTCAAGGAGCAACAGCAGGCCTCTACGAAATCAACCATCGAAACCGCTCTCTCCTCCTCATCTGTCCCTGCGCCTTCGCCGGCCGCGGAGGCCCTCCCTCCTCCGCAGGCGTTGAAAGCGCCGGATGTTGTGGCGGACGCGTCGATCCGGCGCCGGCGGCCGCCGTACCAGATGGGCCGGTGACGCAACCAAACCGATGCGCCACGTGTCGTAAAAGGGTCGGGTTTACCGGGTTCAAGTGCAAGTGCGGGATTACGTTTTGTGGTGTCCACAGGTATCCGGAGAAACACGGGTGTGGCTTCGATTTCAAGGCGGTGGGCCGAGAAGAAATAAGTCGAGCGAATCCGGTGGTCATAGCGGAGAAGCTCCAGAAGATTTGATCTGGGCCGTTTGTTGCCCTGTTGGACCACGGTGACCAAAAAGAGATTCGATGAAGTTGATCGAGGCCGTCCATCGTTTCAATCTGAGATGCATCGTGCGACGTTGATCACATGTACCAAAAATTTAAGATGAGATTGACTTTTCTGTTATGGTATTGACTATTGAATGGAAGATTGAATAAGTCGTGTAATTCGGCTTTCGCTCTGTGTAAAAAAATTAAAACAGAATCATCTTTTTTTTTTGAAGGTGTCCAGGAAGGTGGACGGCGTCCACCCACTTTAATGGAATCTTATTTGTGGTTGAATTGGGAGGCATGTGGGGCTTAATCATTTGGCGGAAGCGTATCTGTGGATTTTACATTATAAATAAACGTGAAGTGAAAGCCATCGTCTTGTCGGCTTGATACCGGGCTCTTTTATATTCCGCCATGATTGATTTTTTTTTTGGGCTAATCATTTGTTTTTCAAATGTTCTAAAATGAGAAGAGGGCGTCAGTCGAAGGACTAGTAACATTTTATAAATTTAAGAAGTTGAATTAAAAATTCGTTTGGAACTAGAGGTTCAAAATTACAGATAGACAGATCATTTATGTGCTTGAGCGAAAAATGATCGGTGGAGGATCAGGAAAAAAAAAACTGTCATATAAGTGAATACAAGTCCATTTAGGGAGAAATATAGTAAGCTGCAATGGAAGAGCCGCCGATAGCAAGCTGAAAGCTGATGCAGCCCAGCCTGACAATGGGAAGAAAGGATGTGAATTTAAATTAATTAAATTAAATACGGAAAATTACTGCTATTATTGAGAATGAGATGGATGTGATCTCTTTTTAAATGCACGTTGGCATTGCACCTGACCATGCGTCAAAACTCAAATGGAAGATGTGACGATTTTGGGTTCCAATCAAGAGGTGATTTGGATTTATCTCCAATCAAAGCAGCATCGAATGGGGAACAGCTCCAAGCCCAACTCCAGCCCCATTTCCATGCGAAACAAAAGCAGGCCTTTGTATTTTAGGCCCATAAAACTGGGCTACGGAGTTCGGATAATTCTGGAGGCTACCCCAAGCAACCACGCAACTCGAAAGTCTCTCATAAGATGCAACTACGACTTATTTTTAGTTTCTCCAATTTCCCCTCAGCTTATTAAGATCCTCTAGCCAGCTCGGATCTCCCTCATCATGAAATCCAGTCAGCAACTAATAATAATATAATACTGAGTATCATTCAAATGCTAACAATTTTTTGTGGTGTTAGAACCGTCACTCAAAATGTCAATGTTCACTGATAACTCACATCCGAGAGAAAATTTATATGACATCATTTATTACGAACAAAATTCAAAGCAAACATGTAGTATACTTTAGTACCCAGCCACATATCCAACGTATCAAAGCTCATCACGGGCAGCGGATGACGTGTCGTGCCAGCATGATTTGGTGCTGCTCAAGCTAGTTATCCAGACCTGGTCAGCCTCCACCGCATCAGCGTCATTGTTTCGGTGCCATGCCCAGTGAGCATGCGTTTCATTCACCATTCTCAACCTTCCATGACCAAAACTCGACTCTCGGAACACTGACAAGGGGCTCCCACGATTTTTAAACCTAAAACACATACCCAAAATTATGCTCAAAATACCAACCAACGATAATCTAAACCAAAAGTCAGCGCATGGTGGAGACAGCTCACTTTAAAGCAAGTCCCTCGCGGTTCCCTCCGTCCCCAATTGTCACGTACATCGGACCGCACGAATCAGCCTTGTTGTCATAAATTCGAGTCTGCAATTGACCCGAATAAAAAACAGAAATATTAATCAAGCCTGTGATTCAACGAATCTGGCCAAATGAAACGTATAAGCACCGAAAGAAAATAAGAAGTGGCATACAAAGCGTTCGTAGGCATGAACGTGACCAGCAAAAACCAAGTCGACACGTGCGTTATAAAGCAGCTCTTCCATGGCCTTTCTCATGCTTTCACCTTCACCCTGATGAGCCTCGTTGGTATTATACCAGGGAGCATGCAGGAGCACGACAACCCAAGGGGTGCGGAGCCTATCAATGCGTGCCAGATCAGTTCGGAGCCACTTGTACTGATCAGAGCCAGCATCGAAGTCCGTGTAAGAACCCAACATGATGACGTGGGTGCCGGCAACCTCAAAAGAATAATACAGATTGGAGGAAGAGTCGCTTTCGCGGTGGGGCATGAGCCAGCGGGCGTTGTAGGCCTCAAAGCGGTGAGGGAGGATGATGGGAATGGACTCGATCTCGTGGTTGCCGTTGGTGACCATCCAGGGCCTTCCGCTGGCGCTCGTCTCAACCAAACGACCGAACGAGTCCCACAGGAATTGCAGGGTATCAGCGTACGACAGGTCTCCCGGTAACAAAAACACGTCGTACTCTTTGCTTTCAACATGTCGTAAGGTGGACCTTGTCCATTTTGTTTGTCCCAAGTCCCCTGCGCATTATTTCCTCTCATCATTTACCCACTTACACTGTTTCACACTTACTATGCGCTTCAAACAAGTCGACAAAAACAAATTTATGTTTATTGGTATGTGTAAGATATAATCACAAGTTTATGCGTCAGAATTTAACACAGACTTGGTTTTCCTGGGGAAAACCTACATGCATGACAACCAAGAGAAACCAACAGCATAGGAGCAGTTCTAATTTATGGGCCGTGTTTGTTTGTTAGTTTGCTGAAAGGAAGAACGCACAGCATCGTGTTAGGTACAGGCCCTCAATTTCGAACCAAAGCGCAAACGCAGCTTTCTGGACTTACATAAATCTTAGCCCGCTTCCTTAAAAACTCATGCGTAACATCTAAACAGTGCTTAAAACTTCTAGATTAGCCTGCCCCAGGCACCGCGTCCTCACTCCCTCACCCGCTTATGATTTATTTTGTCGATTCAGTAAACCAATAATTAACCACTTCACCTCAAGACACGATACCAGACATTTTATTATCTCCCCATCATCACATGCCAACCCAATATTATAGTGGTTTAAATTATTAATATATTTATTGCAACTCATTATTTTAAGTTTAGTCTTGTCGGACAAGGATTTTCAATTACCTCCCACATATTATAATCTGTCATATATTTATGTATTAAACACGAACGTGTTATAATTTCTATAGAGAGTTATTCATTGTAACAAGTGCAGTAGCAGTATTATTGTAAAATTTGAGTTGAAGGGATGATACGATAACGAATAACAAGTAAAAAATGGAGAACGAGACATTTTAAAATAAAATTATACTGCCTTATATCCTTTATATAAGAACTAAATAACTAATTTACGAATATTAATAATATTAGTTAAATTAGTTATCAGTAGTAAATAAATATTATTTTATTTAAAATATCTTTGTTAATCACATATATTAGAATGAAAACTTTTTAACATGTGCAATCACCATGTGGACTACTTTTAAGAAAATTCAAATAAATAAATATAAAAAATAAAGTAAAATGAAAGTTGTACATTTAAAATTAAATTGAATTTTCAACTATTTTTATTTAGGTGCAAAGCTAGTATTTTTACAAGGACACAACAATGGGAATCGAATTAGAAGCTAGCTCGCATGCATGGCAGGGAAGCTGTTTTTTTATTTTTTTTGTGGGGTTGGAGAACTGAGTCTGTGTAAATTCCATTGGTCATCCAGTTGCCAATCCTCAAATGATTGGCCAACAAAAAGTGTTGACTTTTTGGAAGTTATGAATCAAAACCGCGATACTAAGGCCAAGAACATGGATTCTTTTATTCCCAAGTCTCAGAAAAAGATTCCTGACGCGCGTGGCGTTTCGCGTAAAACCATAACAAATACTGGACGCCATTAATATTATATTCATGTGTCATTTCATTGTTTAGCCGGAGCCCTAATCTATATCTCCCAACGATAAATTTGTAAACGATGAAACTAAAACAAACATAAAGGCCAAAAGAGGAGGCCGAAGGAACAGCAACTTACCGACCACGACGAATTCAATCGGCAACTCTGCTGGTGGCGTCTTGAAGGAAAATTCGGGTCCGGATCCTCCGCATCTGTAGAAGTAAGTGGTGCTCGGACGGAGAGGCCCAATTTTGACGTGGTGTATGGCGCCGGACCTGTACAACAAGAACTGGTAATGGGTCTGCTCTCCGGCGGCCTTTGCACTGTATTTTCCGGCCTCTGTTCCATATTCCACCACAGATTGCACGTGCTCGTCTTCTGTAATCCACGATACCCTCATATGGCCCTTGCCAGCCAGCGATATATGCACCTGCATAGATATAAGTTTAAATAAGGATGTTGAACCATATATAATGTATGACTGAACAAGCAATAATGATTTGCTAATTCAAATACTTGAAGATCAAAAGATTCACCTGCTGAGGGTCGGAGTCGGAACGCTCATTAGGAGTTAAGATTGGAGGGGCTGAAGGCTGACGAGAAAAATTATTGCCTTGTGATTGCAGGGGCTGAGGGAACAACAGGAAGCATAGGATTAGAAGGATTACAAGGAGGATTAGTGATCCAAGTAATCTCATTTTGTTTTCTTTTGGCTTCAGCTTATAGAACTGCCTTATATAATAAGGTTTCTGATGGTGTGCTAATGAGCTTGATAATACGTGTATATGTATAAAGGAAGCAAGGGAAGGCTGGGAGGGAATCTATTTAAAAGATAATCTGTTATATTAATTAATTGAAATTTAGGACTGGGTCAAGTAATGGAGTGTGTTGTGGCGTCAAGTAATATACCTAAGTTCGTCTCAAAGATGTTGGATATCATAATATTTGTTGACTTTGGACATCAATATTCAAGCGGGAACTTTCTCCCGCCAATGGCGTTTTGGTTTGGGTGGATAATGTTGGTGCTAAAATGGGTGCGAGTTGTGCCAGAGTCGCCGAGGATCTTAATGTGATCTGGCTTCTGTCAAATGAGAGTGGTCCTGAGATTTCTTATCGCAGTGTCGCTAAGAATCAAGTTGGGATGTAAATGTAAATTAAAGAACTGGAAATGCAAAAGCGAAATGAAGTTGAATTTGAGTTCTACAGTACCCTGATCACAACAAAAACGAAAAGACCAAAGTATGTGGGCTAATAATGAAAAGTAAACCGGCAAACTGAGAACTGAACTGAGGCAGAAACAATATAAATACTATGACAAAGAGAAATGTTGCGATTCGCAAGTTTGTTGATTGCCTCTTTGTGATTTGAGACACCCCATTCATAGATGATGGCTGGTGCTAGACACATTCCTTGTCCTTCGTTTTTTGGCATTAGCATATCATGTTTGCACGTTGGCCTCCCCCACCCCTCACACCGCTTTCTTCAACACCCCATTTATAGGTTGCTTTTGAAGGCCCAATTCAACTTGGTCCAATGAGTTAGTGAAATTCTTGACTTTTGTTTTATATCGATAATTAATATAAAAACTAGTTTGACTTTTAATTTAGTCTTAAATATAAGATTTTCATTAACTTTGTCTCTCATATTTGTTTATTTTTTCTCAATATAGTCCTTATAATAGTTACACATGTTAAAAGTTTTATCAAATGTTAAAGCCAATGCACTTAATTAGCAAGAGTATTTTAGGAAAGACAACATCTATTTATTACAGATAACTAATTTAGCAAATTTTCTTAATCTATTCAAATTAGTCAACTAGCTCTTATATTAAGGATTGAGAGTAGTATAATATTTTGTGGTGCATATTAAGAGACGCGTTGCAGATTTACTTAATGAGATATTGAATGAGTTAATTTTCCTTCTGGCACATGTATATTTTCATGCAACAAATTAGAGGGACTTCAACGACTATGAATGAGAGAACAAGCCTGAATTCGTTCAAATTTCTCGACCATTAAATAGGCACGATGATAATATAATCTTGCTCTGTTTCTGCGCAACGATAATTAAAAACTATAGCTTTTCATATTATATAGTATTAATTTAATTTAATGGAAAACTCCAGGTCAAACAAAATAAAGTGCAGAAAAGAGAAACCTCGCAGATATGATGTTTCCTTTAGCATGCGCAGCGACATGTTTGGACGGTGCTATGTATGGCATTTGCTAGAAAGACGTAGACCTCTCTCAATATCTTATTTTCATAGGAAAATGACCTTTAACAACCCTTGACTCGTAATATAAGTCACTAAGAATCTTAAAAATTGGAATTTTTCCCTTCATAATCACATTTTGTATCGTAGTTTTCTTAAACTACGTACGAAGATGTTTTCCATTCAAGAAATATAGAACACACACACACATACTCTTAAATAATTGTTGTTGATTTTATTTCAAATGATAATCTATTATACTTCTAGTTCTTAATAAAAGATCTCCTTTGATTTTTATTTTAGTCTCAAATATAAGAACCCAATCCACTTTGTGTATCATATTTATGTATTTTTTTTCAAGATAGTCCTTCTAATAATAGTAGTTCCAGCCAATACATTTGATTAGTAAGAATATTTTAGGAAAGACAATATCTATTTATTACAAATAACTAACTTAACTTATTTCTTCAATATACTTAAATTAGTCAACAAGCTCTTATATTTAGGACCGGAGATAGTATTAAACACGGGTCCTTATGTGAAATTTTTTTGGGGTATATTGACCAATAATTTTCTTGGCTGAACACAGAGGAGTGGATGATAGTGAAATATCGAGTCAGGTGTTGCCGGGTCGTTGGCAGATGCTCAAGGCACGTTAGAAACTTTAGAAAAAATAGAAGACTTGGAATTTCAATGTAGGCTAAATTATTCATTTGAACAAGCATTATTGGAATATTTGAGCGAATATGCTTAAATACGGAAAACTTCAAATAATAAATTCAGTATTTAATACTCCTCCGGTCCTAATTATAAGACCCAATTGACTTATTTGAGGAGATTAAGGAAGTAAGTTAAGTTGGTTATTTATAATAAATAAGTGTTGTCATTCCTAAAATATCCTTGCTAATTAAGTATATTGGCTAAAACTATCATTATTAGAAGGATTATCTTGGAAAAAAAATGCATAAATATAAGAGACAAAATGGATTGGGTCTTATAATTAGGACCAAATAAAAAGTCAAATTGGGTCTTATAATAAGGACCAGAAGAGTATCAAATACAAAAGATCTAATTAAGCCGGGGAGACGCAGGGACTAATTATTTGTCCTATAAAATGGTTTTAATAATACGAAAAGTTTAAGATTCATGTGGGTCGGTGCGCCGTGTATATTGGCGCGAAAAAAGAAGTATAAAATAATACTACCTCCGGTCTTATTTATAAGAGCTAGTTGACTAGTTTGAGGAGATTAAGGAAAAAAATTAAGTTAGTTATTTATAATAAATAGGTGTTGTTCTTCTTAAAATATTCTTACTAATCAAGTGTACTGGTTAGAACTATTATTGTTAGAAGGGTTATCTTGAAAAAAAATGCATAAATATGAGAGGCAAAATGGATTGAGGTCTTATATTTAGGACTAAAATAAAAACCAAACAAAGTTTTATATTAAGGATTGGAGGTAGCTATAAAATAATACAAGTCGTTACTTATACGATATTGTGATCGTTATTATCATCATCTCATATTCTCACCGCCTCTATCTTTTAGCATCAATATTCAAAACCTTTATAATTTCCTGGCATGATTAGTTCTATAGCCATCATTTTCTTGATTATTATTAAAGCGTCACGATGCTTTAATTATTTGATTTATAAACTATAATCTGCAAAGACGATGTTTGACGGGAGATTCTGGGTACCTTCCTCAAGTATAGCTTTTAGATCCTGGCAGTTCCAGTTTATTATGACGGTCATATATTTGACCAAGTTTATTCATTGAATCCAACGGAATCCTGAATGCTGGGAAAACTTATACATATCGATCTCTCTGCATGGGAGCTAATGGTTGTTCAGTATATACCATGCTTCCATTGAAATAAGAGCAAATAAAATGGCGACAAATACACAAAGCGGAGAAACTACTTAACCGGCTCCAAATAATTAATGGGAGAATTGCAATTAGGTCCCACTCAAGGGAATTAAATGCAAAAAGGTCCCTTGAAATCATGAAATTATTCTGAAGTCTCAAAAGACCTTTTTACAATAAATTTTATTTGTTTAATTACCAAATTACCCTTCTTTTTTTTAAACTTTGTATTGACAACTGAAAGAGCAGTGGTTAACAACTCAAGGTGCAAAGATTGACAACTATCGCGACTGGTTTGACAACTTATGGTGTGATATACTGAGAAAATGTGTTGTTAAACCAGCCGCGATAGTTGTCAATCCTTGCACCCTGAGTTGTCAATCACTGCTCTTTCAATTGTCAATGCAAACTTAAAAAAAAAAAGAAGGGTAATTTGGTAAGTAAACAAATAAAATTTAATGCAAAAATTTTTTTGGGACTTTAAAATAATTTTATGATTTCAAGAGATTTTTTTATATTTAATTCTCTTGAGTGGGACCTAATTGCCATTTTCCCATAATTAATTGAAAACTATATCCAGTGATGAGAAGGACGGACGACACAGATAACGATTGACTGTTCCTCTTGGTCAGATGATTTTATCTTCCTTTCTAAAATATTAATGTCCCATAACCTTCATATAAAATCAACGGATATAGAATAATATAATAGTCACAATTTCTTTAATAAACAGATAATATATTTTCTGCCTATAAGCATATGTACAGTACTGCAGCGTGTTATAATTACGTACAAAGTGAAATGAAGAACAAAGCTATTTGTATACGGAGCATACATGCGCAGCTTCTTCGTTCATCTTTGTTATGTATAACGAGCTAATTAGTGGTGTAAGCTTGAAGCAAAGGGATATGGAAGTTTCTCCACACGCACGCCACGCGTCCAATTAATACTGCAAGACATGGGTTTGGCGCACGTCTGGATGAGCTGTTTGAATATATATCCACAAAATTAAACTTGTTGATCTCCTTAATCTCAAGCAATCCTTTTCATTGGAGAACTCTAAGTGCATATACATACGATCCTCATCCACCTGGTCTCCTCGTCGTCACTAAATAACAGCAAACGTAAGATGCTTCTGATCTTTAGCATTATTCTTCTTTTGACTCAGGAGACCCTTTCAACATTCTCACTTGTGATGCCTTTTCCCCCCTTCCTTAACTACGCAAGCAACAATGATGTTGCAGCTGCAAATGAAGTCACACGCGTCCATGCATATGTTTGAAAAGATTCACACACGTGTGTGGGGTATGTGGAATCAAAGTTATCCACAAAACCTACTTACAGATAGCTGGGCACACGTGCGCGTACACGCACGCATATGTATGTATGTATTAGAACCGCGGTAGTATTTGGACCTTTTCAAATGTTGAATCTTATATTGCATTAATAAATTAAACTTCCTTCTTGGATATAGCTGAAACATAATAGCTTAGACATTGCATGTTCTTTCTTTGCTTCCTCTTTACTTCTCCATAATTATTAGCTTTTTGGAATGAAATTTGATTAGTCGTTTTTACCTAGCTACAACACTGTTCCGAAACTACCTTTTTTTTTTGGTTCATGATCACATTAATTACCAAAATTAATCTATAACTGAATGTACACTAACATGTGCGCCATTGCAACCAAAATTAATCTGTAACTGAATGATCACATTAATTACCAAAATAACTAACGTCTTGCAATATAAATTCGTGGGAATTGAAATGTATACTACATGGATCTGATTGGGAAAAAAAAGATCATATTCCAGGATGGGATTGAGAATTGCTTGGTCCTAACTCTTATTGCGATCATAGTTATATATAATTCTTAGATAGTCATTAAAATCTTTTTTTTTTTTTGCTGGCCAACAATAAAATCACCAAAATTTAACAACAATGAAATGTAAAAGACATCCTTGTAAGCTGCATAGGTCGCAAAATCTAACACAACCCATAATTATATCAGACAATTAATCAAATGTCATAATAACCACACAAATTGCAAGATAATTTTTTGAACAACAATTGATGGGTCCCACTAAACTTGTATGATCACATAATCAAGCCTCATTCAGCAATAATGGACTGCGTGAAGGCAAAACAAAAAATAATGGATCGCGGACTGATGCGTAATGGCATTGTCAACAAAAAATACGTCTTCGATCCATGGGATCCAGTGATATTTAATACTCCTCCGATCCTTAATATAGGACCCAATTCTTGAGTTGATTTTGGTCCTAAATATAAGACCTATTTTTAATATTTATCAATTTTCTCTAAATTACCCCTATAAATACTATCTCAACTATAATCAAGTGGAAGAGGGAGATGGGGTATTAAGAAAGATGATTACGGTGTTTTAGGAAAAATGTGTCACTTTTCTCATAATTAACTAACTTACCTAACTTCCTTAATCTAATCAAATTAGTTAAATGGGTCTTATATTAAGGACCGGAGGAATATCAATTTTTTTCAACCTCTGCATTATCGGTTTCCATCCTACATAAGAATGATATCAATTTTGGAATTTTACAGAGGGATCTCGATGATGATGTTCTGTTAGCGATGATCTTCCATGTTGCCAATATTACTTGGAAAAGAAGTTACAAGTACTCTAAGTATATATCGTAATACGCGTGTGTGTGAGGAGAAGAGTACCATAATGAATGCCGATTACACACGAATAGAAAATTGAAATTGAAGATATTGAGCAATAACACTACAAACTACAGAGCAGCAGGATGGATATGGTACAGCCGTGTCCATACAGATTTTGCTTTTTTCTTTGGAGTTGTGATTCTGAAGCTAAAGAAAGGCAATGTACATGTTTGTACATAGCAAGTCCTTTAACTGATTGATATATATGAGGTCAATTAGTTGGAAACGGTGACGTTTGGCACCGAAAAAGCCGGCAAGTCCGGATAAATTAAACAAAGCAAGAGCTTAGGTGCGTGGGGCACATGCGGGAAGGTCAGTCCCATCGCCTTCATCGCCACCAAAGTCACTTGCCAGCCTCATCAATACAAACCAATGAGTAATAACTAGACTATTCTTCTCTCTCTGCGTCTGCGCACCCACATCCTTCACCTCAAAGTTGATTCCTTGTACGCTTTCTTTTTCTTTTCCAGTCAGTCAGTCATAAACGTCTGGGTTTTTGGTTTTCTAAAGCAGCGACTTATAGTTTATTCCTTCTTTGCGGGCAACATTAAACGCCTCTAAAACATCCACGTGTCCGATTCGAAGATGCAGGAATCACGGAACACGGCCCCCTCGGTGTCATTAAACTATTTATGGTTGGCGCATATACGTATGTAAGCAGTGTTACATCTCCGAGGTAGGTGCTATTCATCAATTTGATTCATTCTCTGGTTTATATATATACGCAATACATTATTTTCCACTCTGGACCTGAAGAAGGGCTGGGTGTTGCAGAAACCAAAGAGTCGAAGAAGGGATATGGAAGGAATGAATGTATTAGTGATATTGATAATGGGACTGTGGGCAGGAGGAGCGTATGCATACAACCGGCCACCGCCTCGTGAAACACTGTTCATCCCTCATTCCCATTCTGATTCTTGGCCCCAACAGGTACGTGCGAACACCATCCCTCAGTACACCTCTTCGATCATCGTTTCTTCTCCTTTATGAACAGAATTAGGTTCCTATTAGTTATCGATCTGAGAAGCTGTATGTTGAGGTATGTAAGTTCTGGAGATGGACGAGATAGAATTGTTTCGGGTACTGATGATGAGTATAATTGGAAAGGTGGGAGGGGAGAGGTTTTTGGGGCGCATCAGGAAGCTAGTGGGTGTCTCTTTGCCCATTTAGTTAGTGTGCACGTCACAGACGCTTCCAGTTCCAGGCATTGGCACGCAGGCAAGTGGATGGCGCCACGTTTCCATTACCTCCCATCTTTTTCTCCATATTATTCATAAGTTCGTTTTTCGTTTCCTGCTGCTGCTTGATTGAGGTGTTGCCGCTGATTTAATGGTGTGTGTGTATTGCGAATACTTTCTAAATGCACTTTCGAATTAGGTTCTGCTTACCCGATTTAATTTTGGTAATGTCTATCGTATTGAGCAATCAGTGGGCGGCATTATCATTTCACCATTTAACGCAGAATTCCTTCCCCTTTTAGGAATCGTTGAACCGTCGTCCCCGTATCCTTGGTTGTCTATATACAGTCAGACCCGGCCTGCATTATCTGATTCTATTTTACTTTTTACCTACAATATCCCTTTTAAAAAAAAAATTAATGACGTTTTAAATAACAAATTCTCATCCGACCAATTATGATTGAAAACAAAAAAAATACTAAAATATATTTTAATATGAAACATTTAAATTGTTTAGATTAATCTGAAAATTACTTCAGCTTGTTTCCTGTAATACGAGGTGCTGAGGTTTGGATATGAGATTGCAGGTGCACATATCTGTGGTGGGGCAAGACCAGATGAGGATATCATGGATTACAGAAACCCCTACCCCTGCTAAAGTACAATACGCCGCTTCCCCTGACGCCGACGGACCCTTGGCCACCGGCACGACCTCTTCCTACCGTTACTTCCTCTACAAGTCCGGTCAAATTCACGACGTCGTCATGGGTCCCTTGAAACCCAACACCCTCTACTACTACCGTCTGGGAGATTCTCCCCAACAATACAACTTCACCACTCCTCCTTCTCGATTTCCCATCAAATTTGCAGTTGTAGGTAATTACCTCCCTAAAACCTCATATATAAACCACCATACTCGGGGTTCAATAGTCATTGTTATAAATTTACAAACGTAATAATAATGCAGGTGATCTTGGACAGACCGAATGGACAAAGACGACGCTGCAACACATAGCCAATTCAAACTATGATATGTTGCTGCTACCAGGAGACCTGTCCTATGCAGATTACATACAGAGCCGATGGGACTCGTTTGGTCGCTTGGTCGAGCCATTAGCCAGCCAGCGTCCTTGGATGGTCACTCAAGGAAATCACGAGGTCGAGAAGATCCCGGTGGTTCACCGCAAACCATTCACAGCGTATAATGCCAGGTGGAGAATGCCGTTCGAACAGAGTGGGTCCGACTCTAACTTGTACTATTCCTTCGACGCTGCCGGCGTGCACGTCATCATGCTTGGCTCTTATACCGACTTCGATTCTGGTTCTCCACAGTACAAATGGCTTGTGGGCGACCTGAAAAAGGTGGACAGAGCGAAGACACCTTGGCTGGTGGTGCTTCTTCACGCTCCTTGGTTTAACTCCAACGCTGCTCATCGGGGTGAGCCTGAATCCTATCAAATGAAGGCGGCCATGGAAGATTTGCTTTATGAAGCTCGCGTTGATGTTGTTTTCGCAGGCCATGTCCATGCCTATGAGCGTTTTGTGAGTTGTTCTCTCGTCTCATCTTATCCAATCCTATTCCCTGTCTGCTACAATTATTTAACGATCTAGCTATCTGATGATTTTGTCAGACTCGAGTGTACAGAGACAAAGCCAATAGTTGCGGTCCAGTTCATATAACCATTGGAGATGGAGGAAACCGTGAAGGCCTCGCTACCAAGTAATTAATGAATAAGCTTCTAAGCACTTTTCAGACCTTGCAAAATGTTATTTTGTCAGTATACTGTTAATAATCTATAAGGCAACCAGGATATACTACAAACCTAGGAATATATAATAATTAATAATAATGTATTGTTGGGTGGTGACAGGTTTTTGGATCCCAAACCAGAGATATCAATATTTAGGGAGGCGAGCTTTGGGCATGGAATATTGGAGGTGGTGAACGCAACGCATGCGTTGTGGACTTGGCATCGGAATGACGACGACGAGGCTGTCCCCTCTGACTCATTCTGGCTCACAAGCCTCTCCATTGAACCTGCTTGCGAAGTCCATTGATAATAAGCGTAATTATAATATGTAGTACTTTCTCCGATATATAATACTTATTTTACAGTGTAATTTATAAAATGGGTCCCATATTTATGATCGAAGAAATACTTAGCCTGTGACCCATGGGTTTAATGTTCAGCTGTTTGTAGACGATTTTGAAGGATATTAATTAGTGTCAATTAAATGATAAGAAAATAACTGCCTTAGATGTCTCATGAGCATCAGATGATAAATATTTCGAAGTTCTGGTGTGCTGTGATGTATGTAAATTGAAGCTTTAAGTGAGCTACTGACCTTTACCTGCTGAACTCCATGCCATCCTTTCCATCTGAACTAGCTTTAGGTCCCACATTAACTCTTCCAGCACAGGTTTATATGCCTTCAATTTCGAAGTCCGACCATTAACACTTAATTCTAGTAATCCTTGCTGCGCTCCAACTTGATATAAAGAATGTAGTGGCTGCTCACCAATGAAAACACATAGACCCCACACAGCTCATAATGTATTAATTCGTTGATATCTATCAGCAGTTTTATCTGTACTCGTCTACAAATCAGTTAGTTGTCAAAACACAGTAAAATATAATATTTACTTTTATTTAGACTATTCAATAATTAAAATAACGGAAAATATATAATAATGTATAATCTTATACTTTTTGGAGTAAATGTTTATAATTATGACACGATTACTATGACTTCTTAAAATTAAGTACAATTAATATTGTTTTGCCTATTTTTGTAATATTTATTACTAAGATTATAATTATCAATCAGATACATCAAATTAATTTTTCAAATTATTCATTATAAATTTTAAATAATTATATAATGAAATAATATTGAAATACTACTATAAATTCTAGTTTGTGGTGCTGATAAATTAATCATAATATTTTGAAAAGACGTATTTATCAGCGCTTTTGCTTTTATCCACTGGGAATATGTTGGAGTGATTCTTTGGTTTATTCGTGTAGTTTGACTTCTGAGAAATTCCCTAATTTGGAAGTACATATCCTGTTTTAGCTTCCATTGTTTGTTTATGATGTAATTACAAATTACAAATTAAATTCTAAATCCACCTTTAATTTGTTTCCGTTTCCTGTTTGCTCCATCTTCCTTTCATCTGAATCTGATAGCTGAATAGGGAAGTATTCCGATGAGTCATTATACGATCAAATCAGCGAATAAGTGACATTTATTTTTTTTATTTTCCTTCTTAATTACGGGGAAGGATAAGAAAAGCGCTTTTACTTCTATTAGAGGATCCAGTATGCTGAATTAGTATTTTTTTTATGTGTATCCAGCACCTTAAAGTACCTTGTAGTACATTCAACACTTTGAAATATCTTTTAGGTATGTCCAGTATTCTGAAGTATTTTTTTTATATTGATGCCGAATGTATAAAAAAATATTTTTGGGTGCTGGACGAACCTAAAAAAACACTTGGAGGAGCTGAATGCACTAAAAAATACTTCGTGGTGCTGGATACACTTAAAAAATACTTTAAAATGGTGAATGTATCACAAAATATTTTAAGATGCTAAATATACATAATAAAATACTTCGGGGTATTGAATGTAGCTTAACCCAATATTTTATTCCGTTAGATCACATCATACAAATCGTCACGAAAGTGCCTATATATCAGCCTATCTTGTATATATAAGATTCCATGTTCTCTTGCTAATTAATGTCAGGATTTTATATTAATTTATAATTCTATGTACATATTAATACAACAAATTAGACGAAATCGGTTTATACTAAATACCAAGAGGATTCATGATTCCAAAACGTTAAATCGGTTTCTAATAAAAACACGTCGAAATTTAGAAGCTCTCCAATACAATGATTCTTTTTCTTGTACCCCTGCCAGCCAAGAGCCCTCCAAATGGTTCACGAGAACGGTTATCTGTATGTGAGAATAAGAAGACAAATAAGAGGACCAATAAATTACCGAGAGGAGCCATTTTGAAAAAAAAGGAATTTATTAATTAACAATAAAAAAGAAGATTGACAGCTATGCGGGCCATATATATAGAGCCTGGGAGGCGGGTTGTCGATCATGGAAGGTAGAATTTGCCTTGACGCTCAGACGCTGCGTTGGCCGCCGAAGAACACAAGAACCGACGAACACGATGGAGGCCCGATGGGCGAGTGCGGTGGTGATAATGGTGGGATTATTCGGCGCCGTTTTGGCCTACCGTCGCCCTCTTCCTCGCCGGACAATCTCCGTCCAACCTTCCATGAATGACGATTCTGACACGTCGCCTCAACAGGTACGCACTCATCATGCTCTCCAAACTTCGCCGTTTTCTGATCGCTGCATTTACTCGCAATAACTCACGGCTATTCCCTAGAAATGAAAGTTTGAAAACGGAGGTTTTTTTTCCCTTCATTTTAAAATTTTGGCTTTTTTCCGATGAACCGAACCTGTACTGTTTCATGAGGTATCCGCGCTTGTTGTTTTGCCAGAGAATTAGATTTGGGTGGGTGGGTTTGGTTGGGCGGAGGACCCAGTAAGTTGGGTTACCCATTGTCATCTAATTTAGGACATTAGTGAGAAAATGATAAGGGTGGCTTTACGCGACTGAATCCACTGGTTCTAAGAAACCTACTCAATTTAGTTTCATCTGACGACGGTCTGACCTCCGACTGTATCAAATCCGGAAACTCAAGTTTGTTGTTCCAAACAGCGTCTATTGATTCCTGCTTCTGCACGCCGAATGTTCTTGCACTCTTCGAACCATGGGACTTATCAATAATATGATTTCACATAAATTTATGTAATACTGATTTTACAAATACTACAGTTGCAAAATTCGTCAATTCACACAATTATAAGACATTTATACCAGACATACATTTTTAAGTGGAGTCTCAGTTTAATATTCTGTATCTGTGGATAATTTGTTACACCTATACCAATATTAACATAAATCACATTATTTGTAAATCATAAATATTATAGCTCATTTTTATTTTTATGTTCTGCGCAATACATACGACTCACATCTAGTTGCATGGATTTTCATCCAGTTCTTTGAATACATTATTTTTTTAAATAATAAATCGCAGGTTGTGAATATTACAATTTATTTTTGTAATGCACAAGATTAATTTGTGTTATATTTCACACTTAATTTAAATTTATTACTAATTTTTATCAGATTATATAAATATATGCGTGTTTGATGATCCTTGAGAATTACAGATGAGGCCGATAGGCTGCTTGATACATAATTCTGACTTCATAAATAAGGCAAAAGATAAATTTATTTACTCGTTAAGCCCAAAATAAGTTGGGCTCCAGTGATGAGGACCCTGGGACGTGGAGTGACGTTTTTTGTGTGTTATTGGGTGTGTTTTAAGATAAAATGGCTAACATAATGTCTGGGGTGATCATTGTGCAGGTGCATATATCTCACGTGGCCCAAACAACATGAGGATCTCATGGATCACACAGAGCCCAACCCCTCCAATTGTTCGTTACGGTCCTTCTGCTCAGGCCGACGGTTCCTCCGCCACTGGCTCTGCCTCTTCCTACACCTACTTCACTTACCAGTCCGGCCAAATTCACGACGTCGTTATCGGCCCTCTTAAACCCAACACCCTTTACTACTACCGTCTGGGTGACTCCCCTTCCTCCCCACAATACTGCCTCAAAACCCCTCCTTCTCAATTCCCTATCAAATTCGCCATTGCAGGTCAGCCCTCTGCTCAGTCCCCTCTTCCTCTCCTCATTCTCCATTATTTAGTATTTATTGTGTGTGTTTGCAGGTGATCTCGGCCAGACGGACTGGACTCAATCCACCCTGCAACATATAGCTAATTCAAGCTACGATATGTTTCTGTTGCCTGGGGACCTATCTTACGCAGATACTATGCAGCCTTTGTGGGACTCGTACGGTCGCCTGGTTGAGCCATTGGCTAGCCAGCGTCCTTGGATGGTCACTCAAGGCACCATGAGGTCGAGAAGATTCCCGTGGTTCACAGCGAGCCGTTCACAGCCTACAATGCCAGGTGGAGAATGCCCTTCGAGCAGAGTGGCTCCGACTCCAACTTGTACTATTCTTTTGACGTTGCTGGTGTGCACGTCATCATGCTCGGCTCCTACACCGACTTTGATTCTGATTCTGCACAGTATAAATGGCTTGTCGGCGACTTGCAGAAGGTGGCCAGGAACAAGACGCCTTGGATTGTGGTGCTTCTTCACGCCCCTTGGTATAACACCAACACTGCTCACCAGAATGAGCCTGAGTCCTACGCCATGAAGGCCTCCATGGAAGACTTGCTGTATCAGGCTCGTGTTGATATCGTTTTTGCAGGTCATGTTCATGCGTATGAGCGCTTTGTAAGTCCCATGTTTCCCAATCTTGCCGCTCGCTTCATTCCTTGGCTTCAAGTGCCGTTTGTTTTTCACCTGATTTAACTTGCTCCTTAATAAACTCTCTGTACAGACTCGAGTCTACAAGGACAAAGCTGATAATTGCGGTTCAGTGCATATCACGATAGGGGATGGCGGCAATCGAGAAGGCCTCGCCTCTAAGTGAGTCGATCTTTTGAACATTTTAATTAAAACTGTATTTAATTGGGTAAATGGCTTTTTTGTTATACAACATTAAGATGCTGAGTTGAGTTGTGGGTTTACAGATACATGGACCCAAAACCAGAGACATCGCTGTTCAGGGAAGCTAGCTTTGGACATGGGATCTTGAATGTGGTAAACGCAACGCATGCACAATGGACTTGGCATCGGAATGACGACGATGAGGCTGTTGTCGCTGACTCTATCTGGTTGAATAGCCTCTCCACTGTGCCTAATTGTAAAGTTTAGCACCACATCTACACATTCTCATTTGAAGAGATCTGCATAATGAGGCTCGTCATCATCACCTGCGAGTGTGATTATTCAATATTTAAAATGGTAGATGAAGTTCTATTTTCGTTTTGCTGTAATACCTCAGAAGGAATATATAGTATATACATAGATGTGATTAGAGCATGATCAATATAAGTTATTGATTACGGGTCCTATGCAAAAAAATATGGTGAACTCAAAATAAAAATAGTAGCGCGCGCGCACACACATACGCGTATGTGTACGTGTATAATATCAATCACATTTGTGTGAAGTGCCCATCTATCTATTGTGATTCTGTCAAATCACGTACTGATCAAAATGTATTATTCTATATTTATACATATCCATAGAGATTGTCTTGATACCAATGAGGTACGTACGAAC